AGACACTGGCGCTCGCACTTCCGCTGCTCAGATGCATGTATACACGGATATACACACTCATACACTTATACACACATACATTCACACACACACTGTTACACAAGTTCGGCTTGCGCAGATTGTTTTTTGCGTCGCAAATGAAATTTTTATACCTTCAATCGGTGTTTCTTGTGTTCTTGTTTCTGTTCTGTAGCTCGTTATCATTCTTGTTGTTGTTGTTGAACGAAAAAGTAACTCGACTGAAGAAAATGAAAATACGAAACACAATCCCAAAGCAAAATACCGGCAAAAGGGAGAATATAAAAAAAAGAAGTAACCAAAAACGCGCTGCGCAATTTCTTCGAGTTGTTTTTGTTTTTGTTTTGCTTCTTCTTTTGCAACTTTTGCTTCCCCTTCAACTTGTTCTCTCGCTTTCGCTTAAAATAAACGCAATTCGAAATCTTACAAAGCCGGGTGCTGCTTCGAAAATATCAATATTTCAACAATTCTAATGATCAAGCAATTGAGAAAAGAGAAAACAGAAAAACAAAAATAAAAATAACTCAAATATAATTCGATTAGCTTCACGCCTCAAACAACAAAAATGTATAAATCAAAGAGATTGCAGATATTCGTATAAATATTTAAAGTTGAAACAGAAATCTCTATAAAAAAAGAAGGGAAAATATTCAGATTTCGTATAAGTTTCGGAGAGGTTTATGATTTTGTATATTAGAAACTGACCTATTCCAAGCGTATTTCAATTGTGACGCAATTTGTTTAGTGTTTATAAAACTGATTTGTAATTATTGTGTAAGGCATCAAACTACTAAATATATATATATGTATATATATGGCGACTATATATAGAGCGGGTTATCGCTCGACCACTATGGAAGACAACGACGCTTGCAATTGATTCTGCTAACAGCTGCAGTTCAGAGGAGTTCTTATCAGCAGGCTCTAGTTTATATAAATACTTATATATAATATTATATATAATATAATATAGTCAAGAATAATAATGTTACGCTAATCACGTAACCAAGGCGATAATTTATTACTTTTATCAGATTGAAAATGAAAAGTGAAAGGAATGATGGCTGTCATAGCTTAAGAGATACAGAGCCATGAAATGTTGATTAGATTAATAAACTTTTAGAAATATTTCACATAAATATCTCTTACAATACCACTAAATTAACGAGTTAATATTTGCTTTTATTTAACGATCTCTAGTTCCGTTCACACTGCTAATTGAAAATGATTTCCTCTGCTGGCTGAACGCGCTCAAAGAGGGGCCGCTATAAATAATTCTCGGGCAGGCGCTATCCTCTATGCTGCTGCTACATTTCCAGAACATTTAACGTTTCACTCTTTCTTTCTCTTTTTCTATCTTTTTTGCACTTGGCGCAACATTAAGAATAAACAATAAAATTTTTTTTCTTTTAAATTTTCGCTGCGGCTTTTGCGTCACGAAATCGCCGCAAATTCGGCGCCTGCTGCCATTAATCAAATTTCTTTGGCTCAATTCTTATTTTTCATTTCAGCTTCTGCTGCTGCAAACAAAAACAACATTGGGAATACAGGTGGAGATCGTAAATGTACAAATAACAGCGAAATTTTTTTGCCGGCATTTGTTGAAAAGCAAATGCCATTTGCTTAAACTATCTTTCTTTATTAAAAAAAAATATAATTATAAAGCTAAAATGATTCAATTAATTTGATTATTAATTCATAAATATATATATATATATATATATATATATATATATATATATTTTATTTTTTATATATAAATATTTATTACAACTTTGACGTTTTTCCAAGCGAAACTTGTAAATAAATTTTAGTTACATTTTGTTCCTATTTGACCTTAATGGCTGAAAACCTTTTTTTTTATAGCTTAAGTTAATTTTCGAAGTATTATATTTGTTGTTTAATCTTTACGTAAAGTGCATTGTTTTGAATTTGAATTTTTATGAATTTTTCTTCACTTCATGCACTTTCCACAATATTTTGTTAAATGCTTTTTTCACTTCACGCAACGTTTTATTTTACTTCAGTTTATTTTGTATTGTTTATTAACAATAAAATGGCAGTTTGAAATGCTCGTTCATGCATATTTATAGCCACCGAGTCGAAATAAAATATTTTTTGTTTGTGATTTTTTTGTTTTGTACGAAAACCGCTTTAGAAAATCAAGTTTGATGAACACTCAAAGTTTTCTTTGTTGGATTTTTGTTTTTCTCCTTTTGAATATGATTTTTAAATGTTATTGAATATTTTAATTTGCTGTGGCTAGTTATTAATGAATGACGCATTAAACTATGCAAGTATTTAACATTCTTCAAAAATGAATTTTAAGAATTTGTTGGCAAGAAATCGCCCTCGAAATAAGGCGTCAACAGTTCACGTGTGATCGCTGACACGTCCAACGCGGCCGGCGATTAAAATTAAACTGAAAGTCAGCAATGTTGTCGCCGCCATGTGGCCAGGCTAAACCGCTGCCTGCACACACACACGCACACACACACACACACACACACACACACACACAAACACACACACACACATACACGCATTGGGGTATATAGAGTATGTGCAATTGTATCTGTGTGCCAAACCGGCAAGACATGTGCCAGCGTATGCACGCGTGTGTGTGTGCTTTATATATGTAACAGTAGAAAAAGGTGAGCACAACAAAAAGTCAAGCGAGCAATGCGCACGTAAGAGCCAAAAAAGACGACATGCGGTCTGTAAACAGCGAGCGGACTGTTAAGCAATGTAGGCGTGGCACTATTTTTATCTCACGTATTTATCAAAATTACGTTTTCTGGCTGCTATGTACTTAAACGACCTTCGCTGTTAACTAACAGCGCTATGTAGGCGACAGTCTTACTAATATTTTTGCTAAATTTTGCGTTGTGGCTATCTCATGAGCAGTCGACCTTTACTGTTATTTAACAGCGAAATGTTATTTACACGTAATTTTCTGCCAGCTCAATGTTAACACGTTAGAAGTATTACCATAACTGTAATTTGTATATAAATACAAAAATATTGGATTAAAATTATTTGTGTTTTTTTCACCCATTGGTTAATTAGTGATGTTCTTTTGTTTTTACATCACGCATTTGTTGTGTTCCATGCATTTTTATTTACATTTTTGCGCTTCCAATTTGATTCTTGTTCGTGTGCGCTGCGTCACGTAGACAGCAGCCGTCTCTAGGTGGTGGGTGAACAAACAGAAACACATACAAAAAGCGCCCTTAACATTATCTATGCGCTGATGTGGTTCTCCCGCGCTCGCAACCGCCGGAGCTCTCTCTCGCTCTCTTGTTCTAGTTTGATATGTTGCCTGTGCGTGTTTTGTGAATGTACTAGTGTGTAGGCTTAACAGACTTTCGCTTATGAATGGTTTACTACAATTGAAAACAGACAACAACACACACCCACACACAACCGTCTGCGACTGACTGGCTGCCTTCAAAATCAATGCCGGTTAATTGTGGCGACTTTGCGCAGCATTTTTTGCCGAAGCTTTTTTAAGTCAACAACATGAGATGACGACTTACATATACAAACAGACTCTCAAACACTTTTATAAATATATGTACATATATGTATGTATGTGTATGTCTTAATGTAATGTATTTGACGCGCCTCTTTATGTCATTTGGCCGGCTGCCGCCATCTCTTTCTCACGTTTTGCACATGATTTAAGATTACGTCATGGCCAGACACTTGATACGCTGCCGGCGACGAACAACAAGAAAAGCATGCAAAAAGTACATAAATACAAAGCCCAAAATATAAAATGCAAGACAACAACCACAACAATAACCCAACGGATGTGTGGCAGCAGGGGAGATTAGAGAGAGATAGAGAGAGAGAGCCTGCACGCACCAGGTGGCATTTACAAAGTTGTTTTGTTATTGTGCCCTGACATTGAAAATGCAAGCCATATTAATATGAACGGAGCAGTAACAAAAACTGCAGCCCATGTAGACATAAACACCAGTCAAGGTTTCACGGAAAAAAATGCAAAAAACTTTCAAGGTCAGACAAAGGGTAAACATACAAGCAAAGACCAAACTGCATCAACAGTTAGTTTTAATTCGGAGCCGTTCGCTCTCACAGTTCTCGCTCTCGCTTTCATATTGTTGCGATTGCGTATGTTTGTATGTGTGTATGAATTAAGTGGTCTGATCTTTTACATGGTACTCCGCATAGAGCTCACACAAGAATATGGCCATCCCCTTCAGACCACATTTTTCTGTGAGTGACATTATTCATTATTTTGCTTTTGCTCTCTTCTCGCTCTTTCGACTCTTGTCAGTGTTTACGGTTTTGACCAGTAGTTGCATAATCCATATTTATACAGTTGTCGCATTTTGCTGTTCATATCTATGCTTGTTTGTTTGTTTTGTACATTGTTAATAAGAGCAAAGCACTTAAAATGTAAATACATACAAAATAAACTGTTAAACTCTTGACTACCATTTCTGATTCATACCAACTAAATCATCACAACCAAACAAACAGACAGACTCCGATATTTGCCTTATTTGCATTTACATATGTAAAATGCATGGCAAGCAAGGCAAAACATAAAAGCTGTTTAACAGTGTTAGACGGCCTATGTAGCCTCTCCCTTGCACTCCTTTGCCCACTGTTAATAAAACTTCAGGTTTTACACATCGGTTTAGTTATTTTTTTTTTGTTGCGTATTTTCGCTGTTTGTTTGTTTGTTTTACTCGACGCTGTTTACTTTATATATTACATACACATACATATGTATGTGTATTTTTTATTTTCAAAGCCAAGGTTATTTTGGTTTGCTGCTTAATATATGATTAGCATAAGCTGCGCTTTAATTCGAAACGCAAACAGAATTAATTAATGTAAATGCTAACTGTCGCTGTAAAATAAATGTTTATTTAACATATACCTGGGCACTTGCTGCATCAAATTAACGTAACTAAATAAGGTAACATTTTTATTTGTTTCGTACTTACTTTGCACAGCCAACTGTTGTTGATGCGCGGCAACGCGCTGCAAATAGAAATTAAGAGAATATTTAGTACAGCACGTTTAAATAAGAGAATTATAAATAAAAAAATTAATTTGTTGTTTTCAAATTTCGCGCGCACTGTTACTTCAATTAACAGCAGACCTCCGGCACTTAGCGTGTGCACGAACCATTACTCACTTAACAGAGCGCTGTTACAATTAACCCAACTGCTAAGCTGACCTTTTAAATGAACCTAGACTATGGATAATTCAATTTGTGTATTGTCTTTTTTATGTATATAAAATTGTTATTAATTATTTTCTTACATTGGCACTCGCTAACATATTACGCAGTCCGTGAGCTTGTAGTGTTTGTACATCTAGCGAATGGCTGCGACCGCGCGGAGCTTTTGTTGTGGGTGAGGTGGGGGGCGGACCGCTGCTCGATGTGTTTGAGTGGGTGTGGCGATACAGCCAACGCTTCACAGCAGACATTTCGTTATAATTTGTGTGGCTTACTTAAGTATTACAACTAAGCTAAGTATGCACAGCCGATAAAAGTAGTTGAAAAATGAATTACATAGTACCCATTGGCTCCACGATTAACAGTACTGTTAACAATTAGTCGCGTCGCTACTGTGCGCTAGGTGGCGCGAGCAGCAGCAACAGTTTTTTATTTTATTTTTCACGGTTTGGTGTTGTTTATCATATTTTTAAATATTTTACTGCATATGCAATTTTTTAATATATGTTTTAATTGGTTGTTGTTGTGGTTGCTTGTTATAAATATGCGAAATTTGTTTGTGTTTTACTCGTCTAAATTACTTTTTTTTTAATTTTTAATTATAGGTGCTTGTTGTTGGCATCTTTTTTCTGTTTTTCTTTTTTTTCGAGGAAGCGACAAGTAAATGAAATAATTGTTGACGATCGCACAGAAAGGTGCACAATAAATATATATGTAAAACATATAAAAATTCGCCCCCTGACCATGAAAATGTCAACGTCTTTGTTTGGGGCGACTGATTTACAGAATTCTTCAAGTGGAAACAACAGAGGCGGCACATGTTAAATATATACGCATGCCTGCATGCACACACATGTTAATAAACTCACTCACACACACACACATACTTTGATGCACTCTTTGGGTCACAAATTAATCCTTGACCCTCTGGCAAGCTTTTAATTAAGAGAGTCAGCGAGACAGAGAGAGAAAGAGAGAGAGTACAAGCAGCAAAAGACTCTAAAGCAGCAGCAGTAGCAGCGGCGGTTTGTGACGCATTAAAAGTTTATTCAGCGCAAGGCGCTTGCATGCTTAGGGGGGCGTGGCACATGGGCTTGATTGACTTTGTCGTGTCGCATAATTGAAAAAAAAAAGAAATAAAGAATAGAAATCAAATTGATTGAAAGGTAAAAAGCAAACAAAGTGACCCAATATTGAGGCGAATTGAAATGCTAGAACAAAAAGTGTGCGAGTGGTGAAGTGAAGGAGAGCGCGCATAGAACTGTATACAATTTCGACTAAGCCCAAAAGGCAATAATATATTGCCCAAAAGGCAATAATATATTAATAACCCAGAATAAAGAGTCATACATAATAAAAGTACTAGAATGAGCAGACAAGTGGCAATTTTGCATTAAAGTCAACCAAAATCAAAGAGAGGCAGCCAGTCACAAGAATGTACTACAGAGTGTACTAACTCTATTATATGCATGCTGAGAGAATGTTTTAACTTTATTTCCTTAATACAGGCCTGTTATATCAAACAAAGTAAAAAGAGAAAGAACAGAATATGATAACGTAAGGATCTATAAGCGAACTGCAGATAGAATGTTCCAACTCTTAATTGAGCTTGCTGAGAATATGTACCAACACTTAACTTGCTGAGAGGATTTACCATCTGATTCTAGGCTTGCTAAGAGCATCTACCAACTATATTCTAGGCATGCTAACAGAATGAACTAACCTTTTTTCCTTTATACTGTTCTGTTACATAAAGCACTCTTAAAAGGAGAAAGAGCTAGCGATAATGCACGGTTAGATAAACGAACTACAGAGAGAATGTACCAACTCTTAACTTAGCTTGCTGAGAGAATGTACCAACTCTATTTTAGACTTGCTAAGAGAATGTTCTAACATTATTTGATTTATACTGTTCTGTTAAGCGCTTAAGAGCGTGGAATATATATAAAAATTTAACATTTTTGGTCCAGCTGAACAATTCCTTAAAAAAATGAGGCATGTTGCTTAATAAATTAAAAAATATGGCAAAATATTTGTATTTTGAAGACAAACACGTTTAATAAATAAAATCTCACAGAAAGCTAATTTTAGGCTTTACGCTATTTGTCCATTTGGGACTTGTGCTTATTTATTATTATTATTTTTTGTTTTACGTCGAATTTGTATTATTGTATTTTTCCTTCATCGAGCTGTCTATCTAGTTGAGTAATAGGTATTTTATAGCTAGCTGTATTTGTGTAGCGACAGCCTTTAGTTTATATTATTCTAGTCAATATTTGTGCAATATTCTGTTCGAGAATTTAATGAAAAACAAAAAAGAAAACAAAAACAAACTAAGAAAATATGTGGAAGAGCAAAATTTGAAACAATTCAGAAGCAAATAAATTGCTAAATACATTAAAGCTAATTATTCAACTGCGAAAGCTGTCAGAATGTTGGCAAAATTTACAACTGGAGAATGCGAAAAGCCCGAGGAGAAGATCAGGCGATCAGACGAAGCTAACAATTATGAGGAATTATGCAATAGCTAAGACTAAGTTTAATTTCAGTTCACGCTGAGATCAAACAATAAGAAAAGCTAAAAAAGCTTGAAATCCTCAGATAATAATGTAGTCTAAAAACTTGTTTTTCTGAGCTTTAACTGGGATATGAGCTTTCAACGCTAATGGAAGCTTTTTATGGTATTTATTATGTTAATGAAATACAAAAAAAAAACATTATTATAAGTTAAATGTATATGCTAAATAATATAAATAAATAAATTTATATATAAAAAAGGATTAAATATAAAATTTAATGTATATATGCTTTTGAAATCAGTGATCTTGAAATCCGTTGATTTTGAACTGTAGATGGATAGTTAAGTTTTTCTTTGGGCTTTATTTTCCTGATTACACATTTTAAATATTATTATATGTTTATGTAATTTTTTTAACTTTGCTCAGAGCTAAGCCTTCCCTCACAGCACTAAGCGCTCTGATTAAAGCTAATTAATCAACTCAAAGCTCACTTAAGGCGAGCAAAGTTAAAAAGGAAAAGCTTCGGCTAATGTTTGTTAGTTTTTCTATAATGAAAATCGCTCGTTTATATCTATTAGTTAATACCATATGCAGAATATGTGGAAATGGCAACAGAAAGCAGAAAGTGAACAAATATGTAGCGAACATCGTTGTAGTTGTCTTCAAGTGGTTGACCTTTAGACGTGTGCAATAAAAATAAATAAATAAATCTGTGAAAAGATTGCGACTGTCGTAGCTCAAATAGAGGAACAGAAACTGAGACAGTAGCAGCAGCAGCAGCAGTTGAAAATCTTTTGAAACTTAGAAGCGCTCGGCGAACTGACAAATGATTAATTAACAATCAACTACAAAGGAAAACAAAACTCGCAATTATTTATGTTTTTTTAGGCTTTCTTCTATTGCCCAAAAAGTCAAATTAGTTCCGAGTAGCGAATTTCTAAGTGAGAGTTACGCAAAATTTCATTTCCTTCTAAGACAGACGAAGGCGTTTGCGCCCAAGCAGTGGGCGTGATTTATCACCCCGTAAAGATTAGACAGTTGAGCGAGCTATTGACAAGCAAAAACTACGATCGATAGAAAAACACGTTTCACTTAACAATATCAATATGTGAAACTATATATATATATATATATATATATATATATATATATATATATATATATATATATATATATATATATATATATATATATATATATATGATAAAACATCGATAGATATTCAGTTATTTTTAATAAGACTCATAGTATATAGTTAAAAGTACAAAACTTCTATGCTATGTTATGATAGTTCCATATCGAAAATCTATTTAAAGCTCTCACTATGAGCGTTGCAAATTGAGATTGGTTAGCACAGTTAGCATAGCCATAGATAGCCCCGAGATAAAGCTTGAATTGAACGTATTATAAAAATCCACATAAAAAGCGTTTAAGATAGTAAACAAATGTGCTTGAGGAGGAAGTGCTCGACTAGATGATACCCTTAGCCACGGTCGAACTGCATTTTTTGCCATCGCCTTGCCTTCATCTAAATAAGTTTACGATTTCTATTTATTATGGTCTTAAAATTGCGTTCGATAAACCAAGGTTAGCTTAAAATATCGATCTCGTACTCGATATAAACCAATAAGATTTAAATCGACATCTTGAACTAATTTATATAATCTCTATATATAGATGGTTGCGTTAATCAAGACTTTAGACACTTTATGGACTCTGCCACGCCTCCTTCTGCCATTATATCCTGCATTTCCATTTCCATTGTGTTCGAAAGTCGGAAATGTCAGCTTTGTTGACTTACAAATGTAAACAATTTCTATTTGTTTTTTATGTGGGCAACAATTCCTATTTGGAAATTTTATATATTACTAATCTCTATACCAATTTTTTTTTATCGAAAAACAAGCGAAACATTATTTCCAAAAATAAATTGATTAAAAAAATACAATTAGAGCAAGTTGTGTAAATAATTTAAAAATAAAAATATTACTAATTAAATTTATTTATGAAAATATAAGTTAAATAAATTTGTAAATAATGTAAACTTGAATTAAATATGTGAAACATTTTTTTAATAATTTAAAAAATACAAAATACAAATTTAATTAATATATATTTCTTTTATAAATGAAAAATTTTTTCTTGAAATTAATTTTTCAAACTACCAAAGAAACTGTCAAAACATTGTTTATCACGAATACCTAACGGGTTATTTTTCCATAATTTACGTGATTCGTAGCTCTTTCAGGTTTTCATGTTTATTCTACAAATTTATATATGTAATTTATTAAGGAGCGATTTGCTGGGCTTATAGTGTCAAATAGATGCAGAGATAGTCTACCGACTTCTGCAGTTTTGTCTCTATATATGTATATATATATATTTATATATATTTAAATATACAGTTAGCTGTCTTTCATATGGCATTAAATACCGTATCTTATCGGCCCTGCACTCTAAATTAAAATTTCTTCTCTTCAGGTGTTTTTATTTACTGAAAGATAAAAAGGCGACTTTGATAGCATTTGCGAATGCGCCCACGAATAAAATTATATACGAAATGTAACTGATTAAGTAATAGTCATGGGTAAATGTGCCCTGAAGGTCTTGAGTGAGCAGAATTGAAGAGCAGAAGCACATCCAAGGCTTGTGTCAGTTCATGTTTACGAATTTGGCCGAGCAGCTGCGCGGCTTCACAGCGGGTCGAACTATTTTGACAGTTTTGTTAGCCGCCGCGAGATAATTGAGTGGGCACAAATCAGAAAATAGAAACAGTCTCTAAATATCTATTTAACATATTCGAAAGGAAATGTGTACAAGTTATCTATTGGGCTGTCAGTAGAAGAGAAAGAAGAGCCTTAAGAATAGAATTCCACTTCAAAGTATTTTATTGATTTATTTTGATTTAGAATTGAGTAATAATATAAGTCAAAAATAGAAATTCATGAATGTACTGACTTTACGAATGTTTGCTTATTTTCTGACATTTATTCGAAAAGAGACTTTGAGATGGGCTAAGAACGAAAGATATAACGTTTACGAATATGGTGCAAGGAATACAAAGAAAGTGTAACGTTTTCAAAATATGATCATATATGAACGATATTTCATCTAATTGACCATTGCACAGAATCTGCTCTATATATGGCATCTGAATGAGCTGTGAACCGAGTTCTTGACAACTTACTAAAGCTGCACCAAAATAATATCTGATTAAAACTCATGGCATATCAAAGAGCAAATCACAAAGAGCCAAATACATTCAGCTCTTTGTCAACATTGATAGGGATTGAAGTGCGTTCGCCAATTAATCTATTGCGGAAGAGCCCTCAAAGCGACAAGAGAGAGGGAGAGGAAGAGGGAGTGAGGGAGATAGCAGACTGGAAAGAGCAGGCAAATGTAGCCCTAGTTAGACATTTGACAAATTAGCAACTAAGAAAAAAGCTTAAAATATTAAGCAAAACACAAAAAAAAAATATTTAACAAATTTTTGTGAATACGATAATAAGTAGAGAATGACAACAATACCAACACACACACCAATACACACATAAACACATACACACAAACACACACAGCCACAAGCGATCACATGTTTGCCATTTGTTTTTGCTGACAGGTTTTGTTATTGTTTTTACTTAATATTTTTTTCTCTCTTTTCTATTGGGCTTAGCTCATTTCCATGCGCCGTTGCAAGTGCTTAAAATTTGTTAATTATATAAAATAAAAGTAGATTAATATCTATAGTAGAACAGAACGCGTGGGGCGCAGCCAATGGCAATGAACTTGAAAATTGAAATATATACAAAAATAAAATAATAATAATATATATATATATATATATATATATATATATATATATTTATATATATATATATATATATATATATATATATATAAAAGCAAATGCAAATTGGGAACACACGCGGAAAAGCAAAACACGAAACAAAATTTGCTTTAAATAGTCGCAATTAGCGGGCGGAATAATTTGAATTTTATAATATTCAAACAAAAAAATAGAAATTCAGAAAATAGTTCAATAAAAATGTAAATTTCTTGTGCTTAGCTAGTATATAAATTGTATTATTAAATACTATATTTTATTTCTTGTTTATTATGCAAATGTTTTGTTTATCATATGTTCTTTACGAATTTGTTGATATGTTTTTGATAAGAGAATTTGTTTAATTTTTATTACATTTATGATTAGTTATACCAGTTGTTTCTTATTATACATTTTATTTATTTCATCAAATTTTTGTAACTGTATTTTAGTATATTATTATTAAAACTTTTTTTAAGCTGCATATTTGAACAATATTTCACTTTTTACGCCTTTCTCACATATTTTATTTTTAATTTCACTTTACTTTTTATTGAATCACGAATTAAAGCTTGATTTATTTATTTTATATTCTCGGGCTAATTTCTATTTCATTAGCCAGAACCACAACACGAAATATTTGTAATATTTATTAAAAACAGTTGCTTGAAGCTTTTGCTGCCAAAATTCTTATTGGACAAGATTGACGCGCGCGTCTCTCTGCCGGCACAGTCCAATTGGAAATGCAATTGAAAATAAACATAGAAAACGCAGCGTGCGAAAGAAAACGGCAAAAATGAAATGACGGCGACGACATCAACGACAACGTCGACGTCGACGCGGACGTATACGTAATTCGTGCATGTGCGCGTGTGTGTATGTTTGTTTGTGTCACTTTTCCGCAAAGCCCAAAAAATTTAAGTCAATCGAGAGCGCGCACAGAGCAAGCAGAGAGAAAGAGAGAGCGGATGTGAGAGAACGTGCGTGAAGAGAAAGCCTATTAAGAGAGCTTTTAAGAGCACTGTTAAAACGATCACCTGTTGTCGCAGCTGTCGCACTCTCTTCTATTTAGCTTTCACTTTAAAGGATTTGATAACGTTCGATGAGATGGCACATTTGGTGTGATTAAAATGTAACATGATTTCCCACTGTTGTAATATCTACTTGTTTATCGCTGCTGTTGTTCAGCATTGAGACGTGTCTTAGATTGTGCAAATGGCAAAATGTGATGTGTAACATTCGCATATCAATCGAATCGCATTAGCGATTTATCAGTTGTTGAAATCAAAATTGCTCATGTCTATATTTATAATGAAATTGTGGTGATTACGCTTGATACGTTGATAAAAAATAAACTGTATACAATTCGTAGACTGTTTGGCTTTTTTTTATTGAACAAAACATTTGCAGATAGCTCGACAATCTCAATTGCATTTTTTGAGTGCTTGGAAATATTGATCTTTGGAAATTGTATACGTTATAAGTTAATTTGTTAAAAAGTATCTTAAGCCTACGGACGTAAGATGAATTCTAATAACTTGCTCTTAGCTCTCTTACATCACAACTATCTATTACTAAAATGACTTTAAATTCACAATCTGATAGTTTTCTAAAGTTATTTTGCTTTATTATTGGTAGGTTTGGTTCAATTTATTAATTTATCTTATATAATTTTAATCATTTTCTTTCAGACTTCGCTTTTTTTATTTTATATTCAATTCTGGCTTATCTTTCTGTTAACTAACATTTTGCTGTTAAATGATAGGCAATATGCTGCGTAACGAGCTAAGGTTTGTGTACATACTAAGCACACCACAAAGACTATTAAAGTTTGCTGTGACACATACCACATAGAGACCAGCTAAATTTATACATTTTAATTTACGTCTTTTGACTCTAATCGCACTTAGAAGATTATTTATTACGTATTTGTTTTCTATTTGTCAAATAACACAAATGTGCCCAAGCGTGCCAAATAGAAAACAAATAAATAAAAAGAAGCGCTGTTAATCAGCAGCCTGCTGGCACGTAATATGTTCCACCACAATAAATGTTGAGTTTAGCTATGACACTCACCGCTTTGCGTTTATCCGCCTCGCTGACCGCTGAATTTGAACGATGTCGAAACAGATCCATAACCTTGGTCATTGGCGATCGCTGGTTGGCATTGGCATGAGGACGCACAGCGGTAACCGTATGGTAATACTATGAGTACATAAATATATATATATATATGAATTAGATTGGCTAGTTGATAGTGGGCTGTGCAGGGCACTCACCTGTGCATCACTGCCCTGATGCGGATGCGCGCTGCCATCTTTGTACTTGCTCTTGGCGGAGACGGTGCCATCGGCATTGGTTATCGTTACGGCGGGATGTTGCTTATGGCCAAAATGCTGCATGGCCACTTTCATGGAATTCATGAGGCCGCCAGCGCCTGTTGCGCCCGCTCCACTAGTTGCTGTTGCTGCTGTTGTTGCTGCTGCTGACGATGGTGCCGCTCCGCCGGATACGGAATATGTGCTGCTGGTGGCGCTGCTATCCGCTGACGATGGATCCAGCAAATGCTTATCCTTGTGCCGTTTGGCATCCGATTTGGCGCGCGGCCTAAACACATCGAAAATCGTGGGACGGCGATTCGGCGAAGCGATTCCATGCACCGTCGACTGATTGAGCACGGGCGAATCCTCGCCACTGCGTCGTCGTTCCAGCGAGCCGGAGCGCGAGCCTCCGCTGCCCACCATGCGTTCCGTGCTGCGTGAGATCTTTTCGCTGTGCCGATTCAGCTTCTCCAGCTTCGCTGTCTCGCGCTCAATGCGACGCGCTGTCTCGCGCTCTAGCTTGCGTGCCTCCTTCTCGCGACGCGATTGCTCCTTTTCCTGGCGGCTGTGGATGGAGAGGAATATGATTAAGCTCTGTTCACTTTGAATACTTGATCTTGGCACTCACCGCTGCTCCTTTTCCATCTTTTTGTACGCCTTCTTGGCCGCCTTGCCGTTGGGCTCGGCGGGCGCGCTGGAGGGTCGAGAGCCGGGCACACGGGGCACACCATCTTGTTCCTGAAAGCGAACATGACGTTTTAGAGTGGGATTTGGCTTGGTTACTATATCTGTTGAGCTATCAATATCCACTGCTAAGTATTCGGCTTGCTGCATTGTGGCTGCCAGCGCAGCCCAGCACAAACTGAGCCACAGAGCAGGCATAAAAAAGACATAGAGCTACGGAATAGATAACGCCACCCATAGCGTTTATCCTGGCTGTTTGTACTGTGTGTGCTGCAATTATGCCGAATTGTCTACAAATACAATTTGAGGCCCAGCCCAAACCCCAAACAGAAGCCAAAGAATCAACACAAGAAACAATTCGCACAAAAACAACAAAAGGAGCCACAACGGTTCACGCGTATCGAATGTGTTTTATTAATTGAACAATTCCTGTGGCGCACTTTAATTGAATTTAATCAATTTATTTATGAATTACGCAAAAATTGAAGCAGATGGGGCTGCCGGTTGTGAAACTGGATAATGGTGAGTTGCTAAGGCAACCGACAGACCTGATACCAACAGGTTTGCGTCGTGACTAAACTGAATGAGTAAGTGTGTGAAAGAAAGAGAGAGAGAGAGAGAGCAACAGTTGTGAGCTGGTAGTCAAGCGAATTGCGCAGAGAGCGAATTAACAGTTATATTGGCACTGAGCAAACGAATAGCCAATCCAAAAGGAGCAAATACGTAATAAATATTGCAAAAACGAGAACGCATTTGATAAGTTCTATTAAAAAAAAGAAATTAATTGTAATAACAGTTATGCTTGAGGGTATAGGAATATATATACTTGCATATTGTAAAATGTTTTATAACTAAATATTATAAAAATGGAAGACTTTTTGTATAAATGTAAGCTCTTTAAGAGTATATGTACGACTTTTTCTTGGTTATAGCTCTTATATTCTCTTATCTATTATAAAGCTATATCTAAACTTCGATAGCTTCTACGTTACCTAAAGCACACCACTCCAAATTGTTTGCTTCCGTTATCTGAAGTTTTTAGTGCTTCTAGCAAATAGTTGGAGTGCGTTTAATTACACGACCTTTTCGACAACTTTCACAAACTGCCTAAAAACCAAGTTATTCAGCTTTGATTGGGCCCTCAGACGTACATACAGACAGGCCGACAGACAAACACCAGTATTTGATTTATTTTTAGCAAACTATTCAGCGGCAATTTCACAGTCAACAGGTCAACACAATATTTTTGTTTGTTGTTGCTGTGGCTGGTTTTCGACATTTTTGCACTTTGCCAAGTCACGTGCCTCGAGGCCCGATCAATATACAAATTGTTGGTTTTCTCGTTGTAGTTGTGCGATGAGCTAACAACAGCGCCAAATTAATGGACGGCATTAAAAGTATTCGAGTAATCGAGTATTCCGATGATTCCGTTGATTCCAATAAGTAAAGTGGGTTAAATGGGCGAGGCGAGAGCAAAAATAAAAGAAAAACAATGCAAACAACGATAAAAGAAGGGAAACTTGATATGCCGAAAGGGGAAATACTCTTTTTAGAAGAATATATTCAGACTTTGCCCTTGATAGGCGAAACTATAAGCAGTCATGAAAATCACAGAGGAAGGCAATAGGAATAGAGCGGAGGAGAGACGGAAAAAAGAGACATATTGAGAGACAGGCAGAGAAAGCGATGTTGAGGGTGAGGCGGAGAGATCGAGATAGAGAAAACGAAATATCGTGTCAGTATCATATATAATTCAATAAATCTAGAACATATGGATTATAGGATAACATAGACTTAAGAGCTAATATCTCGGAGAAGCTACCAACATATTTGTACTACCCCCAGCAAAAGATAGAGTATACATAAATGAAAACCAGAAGCTCTTCGCGCTTTTATTTGTGTGCTCGGCGTAGTCAGCGTGGGTGGGGCTGAGATTGGGGAGTTGAAGTGTTGCACATCAGCTGTTGGGCATTATCTATCGGGCAAAACAAATATGTGGGCGAGAGATAGGTACAGATGAGAGAGGGAGATGAAAGCTCTTCATGATTTGTAGGGGGAGGCCAGACGCGTTATACATATGCAAAGCAAGGAAATATCTATAATTGGGTGTGGTAAGTGCCCCAATGACGTAATTGTTTACCCAGACACAGACGTATCTGTACATATATACATATATATCTATTTATCCATAGGCTGGAATAACTGCCTAAGTAAATAGAGTAATAGAGTATATACACCAGTTTCCCAAACATTTGCATATAGTGTGAACTGCGTACTGCTTTATATGCGACTCAATGGCGATTGTTCAGCTTTTCAATATATATATATATATATATGTATATGTATATACATATTTATATATGCATATACAAAAGAAGGTGCTGCCATTGGCTCTTCGCGAATTGTGTCATTTGTCTGCTGATAAGCTCACGAATTGCACACGATAAAACAGAAAACAAAAAGTGAGAGAAAAGCCAAAAATACAAATATGGCAAAATATATACAATCCATATATATGTAGGTATATATAGAGTAAATTGAATACATGGATCGGACACATTTTCCGTTGTACGTACGCTTGTTTACATTTTCGTTGAAAAGTACACACACACACACTCACACACACATGTTAACAAAGCCACAAATATTGCGCGGAAAGCTACGTGAGTGTGCTATAAATCATATTAAAATATAACAACGAACACTAGTTACTCTATGAGAATTATTAAACTATGTATAGTATTCAGCTAGCTATTGTTTTATTGAAATTTATATATACATATAGATACACACTCACACACAAATATATATGTATATATATATATTTGCAATTTGTCATGCAAACCTGTTGCAAATTGTGTATTAACTCAAGCGAGGGTATGAAACACATATCTTTCTGCGCAAAATGTCCGACAAAAGTTTGGGTTAAGTGGTTGAGTGCCTGAGCTTGCACTGCAAATGGAAAATATCAAAGAATTTATATAAAAGAAATATTATAGTGAATTCATAATGCGTAGCTAATCGATCTCGATGGAAGTAAACAAACTGAGAAAGTAAAATATCAATAGTACAGAAAGTTGAGGTACTATAGTAGTCAAAAGTAAGGGAAGAATCGATTGGTAGCAACGCCTAATGATTAATGCAATAATCGATTAAGAAAAATGGACAAATTGATTGTAGATTAAAGACAGCAAAATAGCTGCTGATAAGATAATCTCTTAACTAGGCAACAATTAACACGGAAAGATCTTAGTTCAAGTTGCAAGCTTTCAAGTCGGACCAGCCAGCCAATAGATGTTAGTATTAGTATAATAACAAAATCGAAGGTAAACACAAACACAAATTTCTAAAAATAAATCAATTGACAGAAATATGTCATATTTTATATTAGAAAAACAAGCAGAGAATAGCAAAAAAAACTTTAGTTAATATTCTTAATCAAAAAACCTTTTTATCTTCCGCTTTCTACAAAACTTTGCTTCGCCACGATGCTTAGTCATGACTCTAGGCATAACTTGGATATAATTTTAATTTTTTTTTTGTACCGAAATATCGCGTTTTGTGATTGACAAAATGACGTCAGTCGACGACGTGTGAATTGACAGATAAAACAAGACTCTGAACTCAATTTGATGTGCAACGTTTTGACGATATTTCAAGACTTTTTTCTCACTTGCTGAATTCTATTGAAAAACGATGTTTCCTTTGTAGTTTACATTTTTTGTTAATTTGATTTGATTTATGAGAATTTTGTGCCACTTTTAGCAGGTAATTCTTCTTTGTCTTTCGTTTTCTTTGCTTTCGTTTGTCATCGAGAAATTGATGGGTTGCTATGCAGATTAACGATAAGTCTTAACTGCTTGATTATAGGTGGGATAAATTATCGCTCATTAACTTTTTGCTGCGCTGTGCAACGTCCAATTCTTAAATCTTGTCAGAGAAATGGTATGAAAATGTATTAGTTATTAATTTGTGGTAGTTCCAGGCAAGTGATTGAGCTAAGTTATCGAATTTATAGTAATCGATAAATAAATAAATATAGCTGAGCCTTCTTGGGTTCTTGACCATATTTCTTAGACTATAAATATTTTCTTATTGATCTTTGTGATCAACAATCTATTGATAATTCAATGATAGTAGCTTAACTACTATTTTACTGAATAGTAAACAACAGAAACAGTTAGTCTTAAAATAGATTAATACGATAAACAAGATAATATATAAGAATCGCTAATCTAATATAGGAAATCCGCAGAATTAACGATTTATAGGCTTTAGCAGAGCTGCTTAAAGATCAAGATTAAAGTTCAGTTAGGATAATGGAGGACCATCAATTTTATAGAAAGGATAATCTAAGTATAAGCCTTATGCTTCTCATTTAAATCTGAAATTGAGATCAAACTTACATCGTCGGACACAGACACAGAAACCGAACCCGAGTTGGTCAATTGACGTGATGGGCTCGTCGTCGAGTTGGTGCTCTCATTGCGCAGCATGAGGCGTGGCATTGTGGAGGCGCCACACAATGAAACGGATCGCACTTGAGACACACCACCAACTGGAGCAGAAGCGTCTCCTGGCATAGCTGGAGTACGTCGTATCCAGATATCGTCCAGTTCGCGTTCACTGGGAGTGCGCGGCTTGTTGGCCAGGCTGCTGCTGGAGTTGCTATCACAATTGAGACTTTGGTTGGGGCTGCTAGTGGCATTGAGCGAGAGATTGCTCTGCGAAGGTGCACGTATCTCGACCAGGGACGAGTCGAAGAATTGCTTTGAGAGATGCGGCGCAGCGACAGGAAATCGATTGCTGCCGTATCGCTGCGAGAACAAGCCCTGTACCGAGGAGTAGCCGCCAAAGCTGGAGGGAAAGCTAATCGTTTGTGAGTTGGCGCTCGGCTTCAGCTCACGCAGCTGTTGCGCCTCGACGCGCAACTCGGGCGTCTCCTGGGCGCGTGACACCTTGAATTTGCCGCGTATGATGAGCGGCGGCTCCGCCGCTTGTGGCAGCTGCAAAGGAGCAAGAGTCGGACTTGTTGGCATAGCAGGCGGTTCAACTGCAGTAGCTGCTGGCTCGGGCTCTGGGACCTCTGGCTCGCTGGGCTGTAATAGCTCCTTCAAGGCCTTGGGCAATATGGTGGCCGGTATGGGCGGCGGTGGTGGTGGAGGTGGAGGTGGCAACGACGTGTACTGCTCCTCAATATTGCGCGTATTGATCCGATCGATTTTATGCATAAACTGTTGCCGCAAACGTTCTAAATCCTTAAATTTCTCCTTGGAGGCTGCATCCTGTGGCGTGGGCGGACGTGGCGGCGCCTTCGAGACGCGGTCAAAGCGTGGTGCATCGCCACCATTGGCGCCCACTGGCGGCGACTTGTCACCGCTCTCATCTTCATCATCCTCCTCCTTGCACTGCGACAGACGACGTCGCTCGATGAAGGGGGGCAATAGATAAGTCGGACGCTGGTGATAAATGTCGTAGCGTCCATCGCTCGCTCGGCTAAACTTGGAGCTCAGGTTGAGTGCACCCACCTCCACATCGCCGCCATCATCGTCGTCGTTCTCGTCGTCGCTGCTGGAGCCGCTGCTACTTTGGAAATCAAAGGAATTGGCACGTGACAATTGCGGCTGCGGCTGCAGCTCCCCATGGGGCGTCAGCTGTTGACTGTACTGCAGGCCACCTATGCCGGCCAGCTGGGATAAGCTGGAGGCTGACGAGTCCGTCGCCTGGCCATTGGCACTGGCCTCCGAGTCCGATTCGTAGCCATCGAACACCGCTTGCTCCAAATCGTCCATGGTGGACTCGAAGGCGCACTCAAAGCTATCCATTTGATTGTTCAGGCAGAGCTGCTGCTGCATTAGCTGCTCCTCTGCTTGAAACTGTTCGTTATCCTTCTCTTTGCCATCTTGTTTCTCCTCGTGCTTGCTCATCGTTGAGACATTGGAGCTGTTGCTCCTTGTGGTTTCGTCTGCTGCGGCTGCTATTGTTGTCTTTGTGATCTGCTGCTGTTTCACATTATCCTCGTTGTAGTCGCAGTTTGTGGCCATTTGCAGTTTGCTTAATTGGCCCGTTCTTTGGATGCGTCTAGCTTATGATGCTTCCTCTTCTTCTGGTTTTTATGGGGTCTATATCAGTTTGTTATTCAACTGATATTGTGAGAGACGACATTGAATTTTTGAGCTTGAAGAATCTGTAAAAGAATTGGCATATTCGTATTCGCTTTTGACTACTTGGCGTTTCGTAGCCTTTAGCTTTCGTTTGTGTTGATATGAGAGAGAGCGAGAGAGTGAGAATAAAAGATATATGCATTCACAATTTCGGCGTAGCATTCAATATAGATACAAAAGATCGATTTTATTCATTTTTTTATGTTTATATTTATATATATTTGATATTTATATATATTCGATATTTCATGAATATCAATTAAGCGGTAGACAGTGAAGATACTTTGTGATACTTGAGCTTATATAAAAACACTATCCATACTTCAAATCTTTAGTGTCATAGTTGACAAACCAAAATCAAACAACGTGAACATATTGTCAATCTTAAAGATACTTTTGTATCTGTCAGAGCGACGCCGACAAAAAACCAAATAAACTCAATGGAAACGCAGAATTTGTAGTACGAGGTGAAGGTCGACAAACAACGGTGTACAGCATTTGGAAAATGCCAATTTGTATAGCATTTTTTTTGTTTTTTCTTGCATCTTATTTTGGATTGCTTTTTTGCGGCCAGTTCGAACCGAGTCTAAACAGAAGCAGTAAAAACCCGAAAGAAAACGAAATGAATAAAGAGAAGACAAGAAATATTTGTGTGCATATATTTGCGTATGGGCTGAAAGAGCAAAACAAAGCGCTAACAAAGCTAATTTAATTATTTACGCGTCGGCAAAACAAGAAAAAAATTACAATAAAATAGAAATAAAAGAGAAGAGAATCAAACAAGAAAGCAACAACGCAGAAGAAGAAGGAGAAATGCTAACATATGGCAAACATACATATTTGAGCACATACATATGTATCTGTATGTCCTCTACACCTTTGTCGGTCCAAAAACCAACCAAGTACATAAACAAAAGTAAAACATAAATAAAGCCAAATAAACAGCAGTGAGTCAGAAGTTGTCGTTAGCATGAAAGAAAAGCAAATACATTTTGATTTTGTATAATTGAAGAGAAATTGTTTATAGTTCGTTGCAATTTTTACTAAAAATTCCATATAAGATATATATTTATATAAACTAATTCTGAATGAATAAAGTTTCTGTATAAGATATATACTATTATAAAGTAAATTTAAGTGTAAAGCATAAGCTGTGCCTTTTTTCGGCTTTCGGCTTGGAAACAATTTAAGCATAAAATGTTTAAGAACTTGGAACTGATCTCAGCTGAAAATTCTCAAATTTACAATACTTTTTGACAAAAAAAATATATATCTAAAAAATATGATTTAAATACATAAGAGAATAAATTAGCGCTGGAACGTAGTACATCTTATCAACTGCTACTAATGATTAATACAAATCTCTATATATTTTTTTTAATAATAAATATTTTAATCAAAACAATTCAGGTTAATTTCAGCTCAAATTCTTTTCAGATTAAGTTTTTTCACAGATAGAAAATTGTGAACAATAAATTGTTACTTGGAGACTTAAGCAGCTGTTTCTAACTGTACAACTAAACCATGATAGTTATTCTTTTCTATTATTACTATTAATTTTCACCATATCTAAACAAAATTATTGAACGAAATATCAGTTATCAGCGCTTTACTATAATTTATTCATGATATATACAAAGGATATCCACCAGTTGACCGCAGTGAAGTCAGCAAAAGAGACAAGTTCATTCGAATACCTGCACTGCTCGGCAATATAATAAGGGGTCTAAGCGTTGTTGCGTGACATTTTGCATAGCTAAAAACCAAACCGCAATCGAGCAAAATAAATGCAAGCGATACACCCAACAATTAATAGCAATTAGATATGTATTCCTTTCGCATTGAGTGTGGGTGGGGTTTGCGGTATTTTACAAAACATATTTTGCGGTCATGCGGGGCGGCATGACTCAAGTAGATGTCGATTAAGCTGAATAATTTAAGCATGCAACTTGAACTGCGGCTATGCGTCAGAAGATTTTCCGAAATGCCGAACGTCGCTAATTATGTACACACAGTCACACACACTCACAAGCAAGTTAAGTGGAAATCGTAATGCTATTTCATCTGAAACCGAATCGCTCAGTCACAAGTTTTCATTTTCATTCGAGATGAGCGCGTGTCGTGAGCAAATGAAGCGGCGCGATACAATATTTTATTTAGACATCAGAGTATTTAATTATGAACTTTATGAATTTCTTTAGAATTTAAGTCTAAATGCTCACTAAATATATTTTTTATTTATTATTTTGCCAAAAGAACAGCTGAAAACAGATCTTTATAGAAATTAAGAAAGTAACGAAACTTAAAAATATTAGTCAATATTTTTACTACAATTATTACAATACGATTCTTCATTACTCACTCACTAGTATGACTAGCTTACTTGTCAGCCCTTATACAAATCTAGAGTAAATCTGGAGTCAAAATTCCAGCCATTGTATAGCTAACACATCTCTAAAAGCAAGTGCATACACTCGTCGTATATATAGTATAAGGTTTATATCAATATATATATATATATATATATATATATATATATATATATATATATATATATATATATATATATATATATGGCGTACAGCTGTTGCTGTCTTTTAATTATAAGCCATTAACAATTGCAACAGCCACAAATAATTGCTGGCAAATCGAACGTCATGTAACCGCTTTCAACTAGTTGTTATTGTCTATTAATCAATGACGCGCATCTAGAGACTAGTATGTATACTAAGCCAGACCAGGCTGCCGGCCAGACAAACTGGCGTCTCTTAGCTGGCTTTTTGCGTTTAAGCCAGTCGAGATCACTCAAATTCAATTGGGAACGTGAATCCACAATTTAAAGTAAATAATTGTGAAATATTTAGATTTGAGGAATACCCCTGCTGTACGTGTTCTCTGGCGGCTTCATATTCTCGTATTCGTGTTACAAACTATTTTAGCTCAATTTCAAAGGCTGCGCATAATTAAAAATATTTCGAATGCTGACAACAAATTACTGCAGTCACGTAATTAAAATAATTCTCGAACGAGAAGAACAACAACGAGTTGAGTGTAAAAGTCAACAAATAATTAATAAAAATGGCATTTAAAAAATTTCTAGTATTTCATTAAGCAAAAACAAAGTAGAATTCAAATAATTATTTTATGGAAAAAGATGAGTTCTGAAACGTTGCAAAACTTGCTTTGATCAATGATCTATTAGTTTGAATGCCAAGTAAATAGAATAATTAAAAATGTATATGAGCAGTTGGCTTTGAAGCCATGAGTGGGTAGTTTGTGCAAATGATGTAAGCTAAGAGTTTCAGCTGTTGTGGGCTTATGCAATCGCTGAGCACTGAGCACGTGAGTGCCCGTTCGAATGGTTCAAAGTGAGGGAATGATTCACGGCCGTTGATACCAAATGTCTCCAGATACTGTCGGCTTCGGAGAAACTAATCAATTAATGACTGCTACACGAAACACGAAACACAAAACACTCAATTTAAAAATGTTAAACTGGGCTTGGCAATATCGTGCACACAATTTTATATTGCAAACTGAGAGACGCTTTTCTTTGGGTTTCTTTGAGTGCAAACAAAGGGACATCTTTGTAATGTCATTAATTAATACGTATAGAAATTAGCAGAGCAATGCAAAAATTAGTGGGTGTGTGGCTTAGCAATTTGCTAGATGATCGTTAATTGGCATAAAAGTGCCGACAGCTGTGCTAAGGGAGCGACGAAGACCCGCGTTCTGCCAAGTTCTTAAATCAAACAGAGTCAAACATAATTATAATAATTAAAGAAGTATGAGAAGAGCATTAGATAAATTCGACTGCGAAAACCAGAGAGTATCTAGGTATCTGGGAACACGGAATAAATGAGAAATTTATATTCAAGTTTCTGTTTTTCAGCTCTTTATTATTTTTCCATAAATGTGTTATTGCCTCTCCATATAGAAATGCCTAATTTAAAAGCCTCATTATTTAATAATTTGTTGCAGCTATTCACAAATACCTCAATTGTTATTGCAAATGTATCTATTAGGTACATTAGCTACTTTGTCTCTTTATTTGCTTTAATAATTTACTACTTCAATAGAGCTCAAAGGCAATTTTTATTTGAATTCTCATTTATTTTTTGTGATAAAACTGGTTATCAGCAATCTTTGAGATATAAATGACTTTGATATATGAGATGTATATGATATATGAGATGTAAAGGCCATAAATATCAGTTGCCTTAAATATTTTGTTGAAAGAAAGATTAAACAAAAAAAAAAATGATTTGCAAAATATCAACAGAAAATTTGGTGAAGAATATAAAATTTCATTTTTAAAATTCAAACAAGATAACAAATGCATGATGACATGATGAAGCATATTATATATGCAATTTCATATATATATATATATATATATATATATATATATATATATATATATATATATATATATATATATATATATATATATATATATATATATATAAAGGTAGAGCTGCTGTTATTCTGTACTAAATGTGGCTCAGTAATTGACTGACAAATAATGATTTGCTGAGCAGAAATGCACAAGTCAATTTAGAGGCCGCATCAGCGTCTGAGTCTGAGACCGAGAGTTGTGGCAGTAACTTTTGTTGGGTTGTCAAGCGCATTTGCGTGTATTTAGATTTTTTGTTTCGCTCAACTCGTTTTTCTGTGTCACTTTAAAAGGTATTTGTTGCGCTCTCTCTTTCTCTCTCCTTCTCTCTCTCTCTGCCACTCTTGTTTAGGTTGGATCGACGTCAGTGTCACGTGTTTAGCTTTTGCCATTGTTCGAGTTTCATTTTCGTTGTTATTTTCATGTTTTATGCAGTTTCGATTTCTGTTTATGTCGCGCCCAGCGACAATTTAACGACTGCTAACCCAAAAAAACCCACCCGGTTACGACCAGCAAATCTATGATATAATATATGAGACAGCGTGTAGAAGCAACAAAGCTGTATATCAGCTTGCATCGGCGTGCACTCAACTGAGTCGAGCGCTGGCAAATATTTCAATAATTGCTGCAAAATGGCGAAAATGCAAGAGTGAGGCAAGGGGCACAATTTCAACAGAGTTTGAATGGAACGAGCATTGTTACGGATCTTGACAGAGAACGCTCCCAACAGCTGCAAGTAGCACACACATAAATAAGTCGGATATATCCTGAACTCCCTCTATGCATGTGTGTATTTATACATGCGGAAAGATAGTTGTTCCTAGCCCTTGATCGAGTCAGCCACGATTTTATCCATTCTTTGTTAAAGAATTTTTATTGTTATATAAAAAACAAGTTCAATTTGGCAGCTTAAAACTAGTTTTCAATGAAATTAATGGAAAATCTTTAACAATCTGATCAGATATCAGAAAAAATATTGCAGTTTAGGCAATTAGATTTTCCCTTTGAACTTTTAAGGAAAGCTGATTGGTAATTGGCATTCATTAATATTTAAGAGCAATTGCAGTTCCTTAAAAGTCTGATGCCAATGCCGACACTTGGCAAAACGAGCCACTAATTATTGAATATGTGTATCTATATTTGTTGGGTCAAGCGTAAGGCGTGTTATAATTATGGAATATTTGCCAGCTGTTGCATAGGTCAATGCAATTTCCATAACTAGCCTCATCAAATGTCAATCGCATTTATATTTTATTCACCTTGGCCCACGATCGGGACTAAAACAAGTCATTTTTGAGCAGTGGGGCATAGAAAAGCCCAGCAAATATATATGTATGAAGAAAGCCTATACCCCCATATATATTGTAGATATATATTCATAGATATATAAAAGGCTAACGTTACGCACGAGTGGGCCGCGATTATAGCTCGGCTAGCTGCCACTTTTTGGCCCGTGGCCCTCGTTATCGTTATTATTATTGTTTGCGGGCAGTGCCCAAATTGCAAGTTTTATTTATGAAAGTCGCTTCGTTTTTATGGGCACTTGTTTCGGAGCGAAACGCAGTCCATTCAACTGGTTTTTATTTGGTACTAGATCATTTGGTAATACCTTTTGGTCAACTTTTTTATTTTGTATAAGCCATATTTATGGGAGATATGAATCGTTTGAACTGCAGCTGAGACTGGGTTATATATATGTATATATATCTGAAACAGTCGAGCTACGGTTGAGGCTATAGAGAGTATATCTTATTGGAAGTGCTGGCGCCATGCTATAAAATTTATATTGTTTAAGCTTAAGTGACGGAAATATACGGCTTGAATATGCCCTGTAGTAGAATAGAATAGCCATAACATATATAAAATATGGCAATATATATTAGAACTAGATAATCTAGATACTCTAATTGTATATGGTTTACTGCGAGTCGAATAGCAGGTGGAGTATTTTATTAATTTATATAATTGAATGTAATAATATGATATGATATGATATGAAAAGTAATCGGAATCGGATGGGTTGAGATGTTTTGGGATTGTTTATGTAGATCAGTGTTTGATACATATACCTATGAAATCAATTAGTCTATGATACCGATTGGGACGGGCATACGGACAGCCGCTTGTTAAGTTTCTCACAAATTGTAAGAAACAATAATATAGCCACATTCAATGAGAATTATTATTGATTTCCGACCTAATGCAATTTTGTTCTCCGATTATTCTGAGGTAGATTTAGAGAGTGGGTGGGTGGGCGCTACAAGGGGATGCCGTACGCAGCTTGCAATATTCTCACATGCGCCTTATATGATAACTATTTAATTCTCTGATTGTTTTTGCAGCACCAAAGCATATAAATATAATTGAATAGGTGGTTGTTTGGGGGAGGCGGATTTATAGCGACAGTTGCCATATGGGTTTAGAGCGAAATTCGCACGTAAGCCATTCAGAAACTGACTTCAGACCTTAGCCGAACGTTGGCCGATTCGAATCAGCTTCAGTAGCGCGGCAACTGTGAACGGGTAGCATCGCAATAAAAATACTTGGCCAAATTTAAGCTAATAAAAATTAGGAAATTCTAGTCAACAAGATGTTAATGCATCGCATGAAACTGTTAACAGCATCCGCTGGTACCTTGATCTTTGCCATCATATTCGGCTGGGTTATATTTCCACAGATCTTAAAGTTTATGATTTCGAAGGTGTGCGAGTGCGAGTTCTTCAAATCTATATATATTGAGCGCTTCAGTATTTTCCATTCACAGCAAGTCACGCTGAAGCCGGGCACGGACATACGTGATCTATGGTCCGCTACGCCCTTTCCTCTACATTTCTATATCTACGTGTTCAATGTAACCAATCCAGAAGAGGTTTCACAGGGCGCCAAGCCTAAAGTCCAAGAAATCGGACCATTTGTCTTCGAGTGCGTTCAATATAATTCGTTATTGGTCTTTGGTGTTTTTTAATAAAAGTTTAATTTGTGATCACAGCGAGTGGAAGGACAAATACGACTTGGTCGATGATGTCGTCGAGGATACGGTATCCTATAATATGCGCAACACTTTCATATTCAACGAAAAGGCCTCAAGCCCACTGACGGGCGAGGAAATTATCACATTGCCACATCCATTGTTGCAGGTATGAAAAAGTTTTAGGGCATTAAGAGTGTTTGAGAAATTAACAAAGATCAGTTGAGAAAAAATTAAGAAGTTTTGAAGAAATTTAATTTTATTTTATTCATGTATATTATATAATTTAATTTAATTTTATTTATGCATAAGAATGTTTTCATAAAGTATTTCTTTTTTTATTTTTAAAAACATTTAAAAAATTTTTTGATTTGTTTCGCTTGGTTTGATTTTTTAGAAATCTATCAAATCTTGTGTTGTTCGCCTTAATTTTGAGCTCTCAAAGTTTAGCCCTCATGTAATACTAATTGAGAAAGGGGAAATAAACGTGGACTTAGAACTGTACAAAAAGTTAAAATACTAATGAGACGACAATGAAGCTACCTAAAACCACTTAAAACAAATTCGACGTCTATTGTTAGGTTACAGAGGCCTTGTAAATTATGCAAATCATTTAACTGAATTTCCCAGCGATTCGAAAATGTAAGAAAATCAAATGAGATTTAGCAGATCGCAAAAATAAAAACAAAATGATGAAGAAATATACTAATCGAGCGTTCCAGTGCGAGTCTATATGTCTTTATGACAATGTCTCAGCGCTTCAGCGAGCGAGTCGCGTTTGCCTTTGAAAATTGTAAATGAGTAGCAATTAGCTGGCGATCTATCAATGTAGTTGTATAAGTCGCGACTGCTCAGGCCTGTCTCATACACTCGATTTCAATCGTATCCAATTTTGACAGACCGTTGGAATCACCGTGCAACGTGAGCGAGCGGCTATGATGGAACTGATTGCCAAGGCGCTGACACTTGTTTTTCCCGATGCAAAGGCTTTTCTCAGCGCCAAGTTTATGGATGTATTTTTCCGTGGCATCGATGTGGATTGCTCATCGGATGAGTTTGCTGCCAAGGCGCTGTGCACGGTCTTCTACACGGGCGAGGTGAAACAGGCCAAGCAGGTCAATCAGACGCATTTTCTCTTCTCATTTCTGGGTCAGGTAAGCGAAACACTGAGTGAATTTGTTGTATACTAAACTGTATTCCAAAAATAATTTAAATATTTAAATTTCTATCGTCTTGATTTGCTCTAAATGCAGGCCAATCACACGGATGCCGGCCGTTTCACAGTCTGTCGCGGCGTCAAAAACAATAAGAAACTGGGCATGGTCGTCAAATTTGCCGATGAACCGGAAATGGACATGTGGCCGGGCGATGAATGCAATCGTTTCATTGGCACCGACTCGACAGTCTTTGCCCCGGGCATGAAGCGCGAGCAGGGACTGTGGGCCTACACGCCGGACATTTGCCGATCATTGGGCGCTGTCTATCAACACAAGACATCATATCATGGCATGCCCGCACTTAGATATACATTGGATATGGGCGATGTTAGTCTAGACGAAAAACTGCATTGTTTCTGCGACGATCCCGAGGACTTGACGACTTGCCCACCCAAAGGCACCATGAATCTGGCGCCTTGTGTGGGCGGTCCTCTAATGGCTTCGATGCCGCATTTCTATAAAGGAGATCCCAAGCTGGTTCAAGATGTAGATGGACTCCATCCCAATGAGAAGGATCATGCAGTTTATATAGACTTTGAGCTGGTATGTGAGCGAGTTTCACCTGTGGCTGGAAATTATTTTTGATTTCATTACTCGTTCTATAGATGTCGGGCACACCTTTTCAGGCGGCTAAGCGTTTGCAATTTAATCTGGATGTGGAGCCCGTTGAGGGCGTTGAGCAATTGAAACATCTGCGAAAGCTTATCATGCCCATGTTCTGGGTGGAGGAGGGCGTGCAGCTCAACAAAACCTACACAAATTTGGTTAAATATACGCTGTTTCTGTGAGTATTGCAATGTGCAGTTTAACAATTGGAGCTAACAGTGGATTTTCCATGCACAGTGGTCTCAAGTTCAATTCCGGCCTGCGCTGGACTCTAATTACGCTGTCCTTAGTTGGTCTTATGTCTGCTGGCTACTTGTTTTATCAGAAGTCGGATACCCTGGACATAACTCTGCCGCCCAAGATAATCAAGGATACGAACAAGGTGGCCAACGAGCCGAGACCCGAGAAGCAACAGCAGCAGGCAATGGCGCCATCAACTGTGCCCATACCAGGCGTTAATCTGTCCAATCCAAAAGTGGAGCAGAGGGAACGCTACTAACCGAGACTCACGTCATCGTAATTGCTGTCGTTATTGTTTTCGTATGTTATAGTTGAAAGCACCTGTAGTCCAATAAGCACGCGCTAATAAATGTGGCAGAGCCCAATCAGCTGTTCAGTTGAGCCGTCAAACTGGTTTAGGCCTAGATGGATGCACTTGACAAACGTCTTCAATGATCGCTGATCACTAAAGCCCAGACACGAGATGAATGACAACACTTTTGCACTCTCATGACACCATTAATGTGCAACGATCTTTGAAATGGCACAGCGATCAACGATCGCGCAGTAACTGTACCCATAAAATCTAACGCAAAATTGATGATCATGCGAAGCGATCAAAGAACTGATCTAGATACAAAATATAATTATCGAAATTCGATCTTAATGCTATACTGCAAACTTAAAGATCAATTACTTTTCATATATAGGAACTTGAGATGCGAAGTGATCTTGTTAGAGATCACTGAACAGATTTCTGTATTTCTCTATGAATATGTAAGTCTTTAACTGTTAAATATGAATCCTCTTTTCATCTAATTGCGAAGTTATATTTTGAGTCTGAGCTGAAATACTAATATAAAGTTTAAGATTCGGAAAGAGTGGAAATAAAACATATTAACAGCATTTATTTATCAAAGCTATGTTAGGCTATCGAAGTCATCTTCGAACCAAACCAGTTCGTCGGCTTGTGCCACTTCAACACCGGGACATTCCATAGAGTACGCTTCATGGTTGTTCACTTCATTGTCGAATATAGTTATGTGCTTCGGTAAAGCTGTATCACCCACAAACTGTTCCAATTGTGCGCATAACGAACCTGTATCGTCTATATAATGACTTTTGAGCTGGCCAAAGTCTTCCTTAATATAAATCTCACGCTGTTGATTGTGCCAAACATCCAGCACCTTCAGCTCTGGCAGCTGCGTTAGCATTTGATCGGGCCAGTTACTACCATTGGCATAGGATATGCTCAAGCGTTTTAATTGCTGAGCTGGCCACGGATTGGGCATGGCTGGCAGTTGCTCGAGGCCCGTCAAATCCAAATCTAAGAGACTGCTGGCATTATGTAAAAACTCCAAGCTCTGCAATTGAGAATTGCTGAGCAGCAGCTGTTCGAGCAGTTCGGCTTGATCGACTTGAAGGCTCTCCAATGGACAATTATCAGCCTGAAGCTCACGAATGTGACCAGCTAGATGCAGTCGTCGCAGTTGTGGATTGTCCGAGATTACGAGACGTTGCACAAAAGGAAAAGCATTCGCTGCGATTCGCTTTAATCGATTGCCGCGTGCTGAGAATAGCTGTAGCTGAAGCTGACCGGCGCACAGTTCCTCGGGCAGTTCGGTTAGCTGATTGTTGTCTAGATTGAGTTGCTGTAGCTGTTGAAGATCTGTGAAAATACCAGTTGGCAATTGACGCAGTCGATTGTCTTGCAGCCAGAGCTGCCTGAGTTTGTGCAGGCCCGAAAATGCTTTGGCAGGCAAATTGTCCAGTCGATTATCAGCTAAATTCAATTCCTCCAGCTCAGTGGCCAGAGCAAAATTTGCTGCATCAAGTTTGGATATCAAATTACCAGCCAGTTGCAATATCTTCAATTTGGTGGCACTCTCGAAGCATTCGGCTGCCACATGTTGCACTTGACAGCCTTGAACATCCAGATGCTCCAGTTTGTTTAGTATTTGAAACACATTCAAAGGCAACTGATTCAAGTTGGAATTGCGCAACACTAAACTCGTCTGGTTATCTAGTTCTCGTGCGATTTGTGTTGTGAAATATGCCACTTCCGATACGTCTGGATAGTTAAGCGCCTGACACAGGTGCTCACTACATTTGATGCTAGTCACTGACACTTGCTTGGGACCCGCCAAACAGCTGTTGAACAGCATCCACAACAGACATAGATACAACAATACAGACATCTCCACGCTAGACTTAAGTTTCCGCAACTGAAATATGTCACTGCTGAGATCCGCCTTTTTAAAGGCCCACTACCAACGAGGCAATCGGCAACCTACCAAAGCCAAATCACAGTCCAGCCAAAAACAGGTATGGCAACAACTAAGAATTGAGCTTTTACTCTATTTAACTTAGATTGAGGTGTTCAGAGTAAACAAATATGCAGCATATATATATATAATATCGAAAACTAAATCTACTGGACACATTGAAGTGTTTATTTAATTTTACTAGATTTGTAGTAAAATTATCGATGATTTCACTATTTGATAATTTGGAGAGTCTAAAAAAAAAACTATATAGATTATAGATTGTAGCATTTGTTAAATAATGACAATTAGAAGTGATAGGGATCTCTCGATAAAAATACTTCAAAATCGATTAAATTTGTTTTTTATTTTTATTTATGTAACCAAATAGTTTTTTATATATGTATTATAATTTCATTATAATAAACAGACATAAAAAATTATAAAAAAAGTAAGAAATCGATTATTTACACATAAATTTATATGTTATCGATAGATTTTTAAAGTAGATCAATTCTAGTAGCGTAAGCCTTTGCAGAACTAAAATAGTTGACAGAGACATAACTTTATATAGAGCTAGTCATATATATTTATTTTGTTTATCATCAGCTCGTTAAAACATATGACTAACGATAAATACATAAAGTGTATCCATGTTTCGTTCAGGCAAAGAATAAACTATTAGTTTCTTATGTTTTTCATGTTTGCCAGTCGAGTTGAAGAAATAACGCCCGCCGGTTTGTGTTAGAGCTAATAAAAAATGTATGAATGTGCCTAATATGAATATTCGCGACGTCAAGTTCTATACAAAAATAATATTTGGGCACAGCTTGGCGATAAGCACGTTCTGAGCGCACAGTTCCAGAAACATGTTTATACAATAATATTGAGTTGTGCGGCTTCAGTTTAGGGCAACTGGCATATCAGCTGTTCTGATATAAATATAATACATGTATAATTGTGTGTAGGTTGTGGTTATGTGGGCCAAGTTCAGTGACTAACATGGCAACTATAGCGATAAGCCAATCCTCTGATATTGTGCAAAAGAGTTGACTAATGATTGGCGAACATAATGATTGCAATTGAAACAGTTTTCTCTTCAAGCAGATGGCGAGTGAAGTTACAGTTAAAGAATAGAGTAAGAATCTCCATGAATTACAATTAATATACGATATTGACTATCGATATCAATATATATTTGATTTACTGACTATCGATATCAATTTATCTGTATTAATTAATCATTTTTCCATTTACTTCCTTTCGATAGTTGTTCTTAATATGAAACTTAAATACTTTGTAAGCATTTTTGTGGCTATGCATAGTATAAAAATGCAACTAAACTAAACTCAAAAGTTATATCATCATTATTAATTATATATTCTAAGGCAACAATTATTATCGATCTTATTTTAGGAATATTTATGGTCATGCACATTTTATTTTAATGATAGTCTTTCCATTTGGATATTGCCTGCAGTTAATATTTCGCTTGCTGCTGAACTACGTCAATGTCCAAATTCGATTTTGTCACACATTTTCGCACATGATCGAAAACTTGGAGACGGGGCCCAATAAAATAATGAACTCATATATGAAGGCGCCATAAAACGTCAGAGGCATTTATTGTGTTTGAAGACTCGACCGACTGATTGATTGTTGACTATGTAATAAATATAATATATATTTGAATATATATATATATATATATATATTCATTTGTATATATTCATTGTATATATTATATATGAGCTTTATACGCATTTGTTTGCACAGCAAAACTATTAAAGAAAATTTGATTTAAATTCAACGCAACAAACAAATTTTCACTCGAGCACAAAGTCCCATCGAATGTGGAGAGACAAGGCTTGTTGTTCGAGGGGCTTATGCTGGATTGTTGTGCTGCTATGCAAAGTAATTGGCGGCAAATTGAATTGAAAGAACGACGACAAAAAAATAATATAGAGAATTGTATCGCTAAACGAAGTCATGCCGTTCCAATTGACAGACAAGAGGGCAAAATGCTTTATCTATATCTTATCTATATATTCCAGCATAAGTATGCCTGTGTGTGTATGTCTGTGCGTGTGTGTCTACATCAAGAATTTTGAACTGTAATTGACAGTAAATAGATCGCTCGCTAATTACAATTTGACTAAAACAAACACTTGCCTTAGAAATACACACATAGGTATACATACTGCTATCATATATCTTTTATTTATTGAAAAATGCAAATTCTGTTATTAATATTTGTTTGTCTGCGACTTATCGTATTGGCCAGGAAACTGTTGCCAAAAGTTAATTGGATTGAAATTTGTTTGCACATAAGTTAATTGTGCTTTAGTTCGCATTTGTTTAGACTTTGTTGGCTTTTATTGTGCAGCCGTTGTTTATCTTCTGTTAAGCACTGTATGCGGCAAATTGAGTGACTGGAAAGCAGGTCGAACATGTTTAACAAAAGCCATAATAATGCATATTTATTTGCTTTTGGTCTTTACTTCTTGACTAGAAATTATTAAATATTACCATTAATTAGCCATGTTAATTCTATATGCATATGTAGATTTGTATGCCTATATATATATACAATTGATATTCTGCTTATATATAGATGTGGATCTATCTCACACCTGTAGGCCGACCGTAATGACCAATAATAATGCGATTTTGGCGGCTAAAAGGGCAAGAAAAGATTTCAATCTGGCCAACTGTCGCTCATAACTTTTTGAACCGTTGCCAAACTATACACACATGAACATATATATATATATATATATACAATATAAATAAACAAAAATTAGCAGCACACAACAAGCCGTGAAATTGCGTGGCGTAAATCTGTTTATCAAGTCGTTGGTGAAATGCTCTATGAAATGAGTCCCAGATGTTTTATAGAAATGATTTATATTACACATTTAGTTCATTTTATTACGCTCACAAATAATATTAAGGGCTGAGACCTTCAAAAATATTTTAATTATTTGCGACATATTTGCTGACCATTTGAAATTCCTTTGCTTTAGCTTATGTTTTTCAAATGTTTTCTTATTAAATTGTGCGCTCGCTATTTATAATTTTTTTATTTTTAATATAGCAATTTGCATAGTATTTGATTTAATTAGTAGCACTTATTAAAACAGTTTTAGAACTCATAAATATGAGAAACATTAGGAAATCCTTAAATAAATCGTATTTCAACCGAACCTAATTTCTTTTGAACCGAAACGATTCGAAACTGAAATTCTCCATTATTTTTATAAAATAGAAGACTAATGTTTTGCCTAACACCTAATCTTAAACCTCATATTTGGGAAAGACCCAGGTATTATATATAACTTTTATGCTAAGCTAATAACTATTTGTCTATCTTTTATCTTATCTTATTTAATGTAAATATGCATACCGTGGAATATTTTTTGAAAGACATAAAAAGAAAAGACGAGCTTTGTAGTCCTGATTAAAAGATGAATATATGACTATATGCGAAACTATTCAAATATATACTATATATACAATACAATACACATATATTATACCTGTACCACACATATCCATATACACATATAATGATGAATTCCCAAAATGATTGTAAATTCAAATATGCTTTTAATTTGTTTACAATAGCTCAGAACACAACAAGTTATAACTGATATATACAATTATTATTATGATTATTATTCCGAAACTATTAATCGTATTATCAACTACATATGTAAAGCGAACACGAATCTTAATTTTTATAACAGACATCATCAAGGTATATCTGGTTATCTGCAGATAGAGCTTCAGCTTGGACTATCTATCAACCACTCTGACACACCCCTCTCATTCTTTAACTTTTTGTATGCACATTGATTGTTGGAGCACCCGTGAATCTGATCGTTCCGCTGTCTGCTAAAGTATATGTTATCAGCTTTAAAAAAAATAACCAAAAACAACAAAAGTGATTTGTTTTTAGCAGAAAGCGCAAGGTAAACACACTAGAGTACACAACCTTATATAAATATATGTGCATATGTATATAGAACTGTGCTCTGATAAGCCACGAACCAACGAATGAACGAACGATCGTTGCGAGTTATGAAAGGTGAGGCTATAATAAGTATTGTATACTGATTTCCAGTGCTACTCGAACTAGTGACAAACAGTTTTCTCGATTTTGCGATTTGCATATGAAAGGCTCAAATATGCCTGACCAAGCGCTATGAAAACCAAAGCCAGAAAGACGACTGTGCCGAAAGGGGGAGCGGGGAACTCTATTCAGAAAAAGTCACAAACTGTGCAAATATTTCATTGGAATTATATACATAGCCGCATTATAGCATTAACAGGTATTTTGAGCCGGCGCGGATGTGCGACTTCAATTAGCCAGCGGGAGCAAAATATATATATATATATACAAATATATAAGCATAACATAATAAATATAACGACAAAAAAAGAACAAAATGATTATACATATGTCGAAATGCTGACAACAATATAGATTATATAGCTTCTAAATGTAATCATACAAATAGAGCTTTTCCTGACTTTGTTGTTTCTTTTTAGGTTTTAATGCCCTAAATGAAATATGGCAGCTGAATTGTGTCATAAACTTGGTGACAATAATGATGAGCAAATGAATGAGGAATATTTATAGTGTAGAAATGAATCATAGACTTTACTTATTAAATAATCATTTCAATATTTAAGTGAACCAACATTTTTCGGTAAATCTGTGAATGGAAACGACAATCAAAGATCTAAGTAAACATTATCTTGAAAATATTGCTAGAAATTAGTTCATTGGTCCCAAAATGAATGGCTACAATTATATACTAAATTCCCTATTCTTAATTTTCTTTTTCTCTATTTTTGATTCTGTCTACTTTTTTTCTCTATTTTCATTTCATGATTCTTAACTCCTTATTATCTATTCTGTACTCTAATTCTGGTTATGATACTATATTTGTTATTATTTATTCTAACTATTATATTTGTTATTTTCATCTATTTATTCTTGATTCTCAATTTTCTACTTTTCAGTTTATATTCTTTATTCATTGTTATCGATTCTTTATTCCCTATTAACTACTTTATACTCTCTACTTGCGTTTTTCTCTTTGAAAATTTGTTTTAGATTAATTGAATGATAAATAGCAGCTTTTTGAAGTTTTTCTTTTTTTACGATAAAGATTTAATAAAACAATTAGTAGTTGTATTTAATCAGTTGACATAGACGAGCGCAATGCAGTTTCATTTAGCTAAATGATAAATGTCGATAAATGTAATGTTATCGTGTTATCGATTTTCATGTTGGCCCCAGGTTTGATGTTTGTGCAGTTAAGCCTTAAAATAATTAATTATAATATAAATCAGATTCACAGTTAAAAATCTTGAGTTGAATAGGAAATACTAGCGTCTAGTAGAATGTAATTTATATAAATATATTATCAGAAAGAGTATTAAAACCGAGACTTGTATGCTGTGATCACAATTTTGTTTGTAATAATTTGTTCATGTATATTAGATCTATATATATATATATATATATATATATATATATATATATGTACTTAATTGTTGTATTTTTTTATTTCGCAAAATCAAAGCACCATGAATAGAACAAATGATTAAATAGAACTGATGAGCATGCGGTAGCTATACTAAATTATTTGCTAGCATGTTTAGCTGCTGTTGTTTATTGAGGATGATCGCATTTTCAGTAGCCAGTGAAACGCGTTGCTTGAAACACGCATACGCCATGAAAGCCCGACTTCGTATTGCAGTGCATCTCATCGTGTTGCTGTTGCTTGCCGTGGCCACAACCCAAGCCAGAAATCAAGATGACAATGAACTAGAAGTGGTCTTAGATGATAACGCAGGTAAGGAGACGGAGCAATACCCAACGGAGGCCACGAGTGAAGCCTCAACGGAGCGCGTCAACAAGATGCGCTTGGTCAACATTATGAGCCTACAAGAGTATTGCGAAATAAAGCAGGGAAAAGCACTGTGTAAAGGATTTCACTTTGATGATCCGGAGGAATTGGGCTTCTTCGATCTGGCAACACAGGTACGCATAGCGTCAGATGGTGCCACCTATGAGCTGGGAGCCAAACAACCTCTGAGCACACTCATCATGGAAAACTCGACATTTGTGAATTTTCCGCTGCATTTGTTCTACGAACTGCCGCTGCTGAGCGAGCTGGATATGCGGCATTGTCGCATGCAACACGTTAGCTGGGAATGTTTTGTGGCTGCGGACAAATTGAAGATTATGCTGATCTCTGACAACGCCATCACCGAGCTCGAAGAACGCGTTTTCACCTACGCGAGTGGACTGGAATTTCTATTCTTAAATAACAATCAGCTGAATCGCCTGCATGCGGATGCGTTCAAGGGTCTGCGGCAGCTGCGACATCTCGACTTGAGCGGCAATCAGCTAGAGGAACTGCCGGAAGGTCTGTTCGCCGATCTAAGAATGCTCCATCACCTAACGATCGCAGATAATCGTTTACGCTTTATCAGCAGCGAGATGCTGGCACAAAACGAACGCCTCCAGACAGTCATTTTGCAGGGGAATCAGTTACGACAGCTGGGCGAATACGCTTTCAGCTCGGCACCCCAGCTGCTCGCACTGGACGTATCGCACAATGAGCCACTGGAGGTGCTCGTGCTTAACCTCAACGCGGGTCACTTGTTGGCCTGCAATTGTTCGCTTCATCGCGTGAATATCTTTGGTGCCGTCACGAATGTCGATTTGGGTGATAATCGCGTGCAGGAGCTATACTTCTCGGCCTCGGAGGCACTGGAGGATCTAGTGTTACGCAATAATTCGCTGGTGCAGCTGGCAACGCTCTCGCAAGTGCCTCGACTACGACGCTTGAATGTAGCGAACAATCCCAAATTACGCGAACTGCCTAGCGAGTGGGAAACTCCACAATTGGAAAGATTGGACTTGAGCAACACGGGTCTGGAGCAATTGCCGCACGCGGTATTACGTGGCATGCCGCAATTGCGGAAGCTAAATGTTTCAGTTAACAATATCAGCGAAATTAATCCACAGGTAAGCAATCCTATTGATAAAATATTTGTATACATAGTTGCGGACCATTGAGAACAGGGAAGCTGCGGTGAGAAAAGTTATGAAAAAGTTAGAAAAGTTTTGTCATCGATATTCAAATATATCAGCATTCGATATACACTATGAAGATCGAATTCATATTTCAATTCATTGATCAAAAAAAAATATTTATAAATTTGTTTATTTATAAATTTATAATTTTATTTTTTTATAAATTTTATTTATTTATAAATTTATAATTTATAAAGATTATAAAAAGCTGTAGGTAAGACATTTATATGCTTATATTAATGATATTCATATCGATATCAACGATATATCTATGGAATTTACAGGATTTTCAGTACTTGTCGCAGCTAACACACTTCTTCATACAAGCAAACAACTGGAACTGCTACAATCTAAAGATGGTAATGGATATGCTCATACTGGAGCATGGCATTACCTATGTGCCGGACAGAGTGGATGCAGAGTTTCCGGGTAGCTATATTAATGGCATTGCTTGCATGTACCGCTTGCCCGAGCGGGAGCAGCTACAAGTGGAGTCAATCTCGGATGATCTATCATTGGCCTCCTCCGTCTCCTCCTCATCGGCTAGCATGGAATACAGAGAGCCCAGCGAAGTGGAGAAATTGCGCAAGGAATTTAAGTCTGTGGTCCAGCACATGGAGAGCAAGTTCGATAGTGTCTATGCGCAACTAAATAATCTAAATGCCAAAATGAGAAGTTTGGAGCAGATAAACAGTACTTTGTGGAGCCAGATGACAATTACTGTATGAATGTCAAATTAATTTGAATATATTTCTGAAAATATATTTCAGAATTTCTTTTCCAAATTGTATTTCGCCGAATCGTGCTAATATTTAATAAAGTTATAACTGTACAACAACTAAAAGAGTATCTATAATGACAATATTACAAAAAGCGTTTGACATGGCAACGCCATGATACATTTGAAAGCAGGCAATGCTGTATGATAGCAAATGGTGAAGTTTGTTGGTGTTTCATTTACATCTGGCAATGCCTCACATTTGGACTGGCAATGCTGTGAACTAGTCACTTTGAAATCTTATCAGACTAAAATACAACGGTAAACTGATTTCCGACAGTATTAAGAGTCGATCTGGCAATGCCATAAATCACAGCTGTTGGCCGTGCTGAACACGGAGTGTTTGTCTGGCTTTAAAGCCCATTTTGAGTCACCTTGTGACACAATTGAGCAAATAAAAAATAAACATTAAGAATATTCCATTTTGTTACACACATTCCGCAGCTTGATGGCAGTTTACAAATATTTTTCACAAGCTTAACAAAATATTTACAGCCGAAATATTGATTTACGAGGCAAGCAAAGAGGTTCTCAAAGCGGTTCATTCAACTTCAAGAGACGAAAATAAACCAGTTAACAAATCCGGACAACAAACGAATATTTAGAGGGCCTTGTAGGGCTGTGAATAATTAAGTGATTGCTGTAGTACTTAATGAAAATATTGAAAGAAACGAATTAATATGCAAAGATCAACAGAGTTTATGTATGACGTTTATAAGACTCATTTTTGCTCAGTTTTTTGACATTTTTGTAAAATACATGTTGTTGCGTTTGTTTAAATAAACATGGGACTGAAATATACGATCTACACTCACACACATATGCATTTGTTTATAATGGGTTTTCCATTTAACGGTAATTGGAATACACACACATACACGAGGGCAACTCGTGCCTGTTAAATGTAAACATTCTGTATTAGCCACAGAAATTTCGCTTTGCTCTTTGCTTTTTTTTTTAAATAGGAAAAAATAGAAAGTTAAAGCAAAAATAAGATCTGATTATAATTAATAATAAGGAAACACATTTGCTCAATTAAATGTTTTGAATTTCTTGCTGTCTCTATGGAAATTCTGTGATAAGAAACGTATAAAACTTTTGAGTTTTTATCTATACAAATAAAGGAAAAAACAAGACGACGGATAAGATAACAAAAATAAAATAGATATTCAAGTAACTAGATGCTAATAAGTAAAAAAAGTACATCTGTAATTAAAAACTAATTTTAATAAATAAATAAATGTTTTTATTTTTGCTTTCTAAAAAATTCTCCAATTTCATCGATCTTTTGTAGGCTTTTTAAGATATAAAATACGGTATAAATGAAATTGAATTGAACGCGTTCTCATATCAACACAAGGAAAGTAAGGCATACATATAAATTCACAATATTATTAAATGAAAAATCATAAAAAATAAATGAACAGCAGAAAACAAAACAAACCTGCGTTTTAATCACAAACTGGAAATTTCGTATTTGTTGTAAAAATCACAATTACTTTTCACATAAGAAACTTAATTGAATTGTGTTGCTCGTTTCGCACTTTTCTTATTAATCAGACACACACATACACAACGTACGCGGGAATACATGTGCAAAGATATACACTTGGCGAAATACAGGGGTTGGTTGCTTGATTATTGTAAACAATTTGAGCTGTAATTAAAGCACGAACATTTTATGCTTAACTTTTGTGTGGGGGCACAGTATAAAGATTAAATTTGAATTATTATGTTGTTTTGTTTTTCTCTTTAGATTTTCGTAGTATTTTGTACTTTTTTGCAACACTCTTGAGGCGTTGTCGCCTGATTAGATTAATTTATAACACACAACATTTGGCTAATGTGACTTGTTTGTTGTTGTTGTTTAGTAATTATCAGCCATTTTGTGCGACAGGCAAATAAATCACATACGCACCGCAAACACACGCACACGCACGTAGCGCAAACAACCACCACAACAACAACAAACCAATTTTATGCAGCAGCGCGAACTTCCACTTTGGACTTTCCAATTGGAGCACGCATCAGAAACTGATCAGCAAAGCGGACAACTCAGTGCACACAGCGCGTATGAGTGTAACAGAGAGAGGGAGAGACAGAAGCAGCCCGTTGCCTGCCTGCATGACAGAGTCACAATTAATTTTATATTGCAATTGTATTACAACAGAGGCTCGCTGCTATGGGAAATTTCCATTGGTTGTTGTTGTTTTTGTTTTCTGCTGTTGTGCTGTGCGTTTAACAGCTGATCACCGTACGCAGCTAGGCAGCTGGAGCCGCTTATTGATTTTGTGCTTCGTTTGTATTTGCTTGTTATATATTTTATTGTGTTTAATTTCTAAAGCATTTTGCGCATTACACTAAAGCAAATCAGCAGCCAAGTGCTTCTGCTTGTTGTTATTGTTGGTTTTGTTTTGTAACAAATTTCCTTGCGTCGTCAACGTCAACGCAATCGAAGGCGAAAGGCTTATCACGGAATATTTAACCGACATGAAAAAGCAACAAAAACCATTTAACTTGGTTGTATTAGACAAACATTTTTGCGCGTTTCTTTGATTTAATTTTCTGTCAAAAAGGCGCAACAGGTAAACACACACAAGTTCACACGCATACACATACACACACATGCATTACACTGACAGCAGCGTTGGCGCGCGCGCGTTGCCTGACTGCCGCCTTCGATGTGGCCAATCACAAAATGAATTACACTACATTTAACTTGTTGCTGCTGCTAATTGTACGCCACAGCTGGAAACTTGGGGTGGGGAGTGACGCCAATAAAAAATAGACGAAACGTTTTGTGACAATATACGAGACAGGGATATATGAACTTAACACGACAAAAATATATTGGTACTAAATTGTTATTGTGAGCAGTGTGACCGGCTTTGGGAACCGCGAAAATAGCGTTATATGATATACTGAAAAATACCAATTGTAATATTACTGATCACTTCTTGCAAATCGCTTTCAATCCAATTCTTCATTCAAATCCCTTTTCGATATGAAGCATATTTATATGGTTATTTTTATAAACATATAATACAAAATTATTCGACGATACACTATGAGCTATAATAAAATTCGTCTTTTAAAATCTGTTCAAAATTCAATGCTGTGCTTGCTCGTGTATTGACCCCAACAAACAAATCGCTTTGCGATCTGGTAGCACGCAAGGCTGCCAGAGTTGCCAGACACGTGTGCATAGCAGTGAGCTTTCAGGAGTGATTGTGTGGCGCCAAATTCAAATTTGATTTGATTCGCCGCTTGTATTCAAATCTTGTGTAAAACACATTTTATGAGTTGTATATGTCAGCAATAAAAAAAAACGTAACGCAATTGTCGGGTTACACAGCTAGTAGGGTTCTGTACCCTTTGACACGCTATTTAGTGGCGCATGCAAAAGCAAACTCCACGCCAAAGTTTCGTTCGCTCCAACGAAATCAATAAAAATGGCGCATTGCAATGAGAAAGGCTGACGACATTGGCGGCAAGCAACCACCAAAACTAGTCCCCAGACCAATAATTAAAATCTCAATGGGTCGGGCATGACGGCATATTTCTAATGTTAAGATAATAAATGAGCAGATGCTCGACTCGTCTCTCCTTACCTGCTCAATGTCGAAGTCCCACTCTGGCGAGGGCGAGCGCCGTTCGGCTTGCCCCCCAGGGGGCGGGGTGCATACTGCCGGAGAGCCCGCCTGTGGCTCCTCCGGTATTACGGCGAATCTGCCGCGTTGCAAAATCGGTGAAATGGCGCCATAATTAGCTACAAAAAAAAACAATAACAATGTCAGCTTATTAAGTCAAGCTAATTAGGGGGACGGATTGTTCACTTACATGTGGGCATGAGACGAAAGCGGCCCAGCGTCGTCTCCGGTGGTCCCGCCGGCTGCGACGATGTGACACGAAAGCGTCCCCGACGTGCGGCGGTCACCTCCTCGTAACCGCCGCCACCTGCAGCGGCTCCTCCAGCGCCGCTTTGCATGTTGCTATTTAAAGCTCACTGCTATACAACTGCTGCAATGGAAGGAAGCGAGAAAGAGAAAGAAAGAGTAAAGTTGAGTAAGCGAGTCCGATTCAAATAGACTAAGCGCTAAAATCGATAGGTCAATTGAAGTTGACCAACAGAGAGAGAGAAAGGGTGGACGGGGAAGTGGGGTGTCACGTGCTAGGTGCCCCAGCGTATGTCGCAGTTCGACAGAAACGTCAGCGTTGCCATCTTGTGACAAACTTTTGTTAATGCAGTTGCAAAACAAAAACAACTATTTGTGTTATTCAACCGTTCTCGCTGGCGTCAGACAACAGAGCAAACTGAATGCTAGAGCGAGAGGAAGAACACAGGCAACTGTCTTCTTGCCGACAGACAATGCGGCGTATGTGCGATATGAATGTGAAGCATCTATGTAAAGTAACAAGCCGAAGACGGTTTAAGCCTTGTTAATTAGTTCATTATCAACAAATACAGAACCTTCAGTCTGCAGGCAGTTGAAATATAGATAGCTCGCTAAATATATTCAATATTATATTTTAAGAAAATGTATATATATAAAATTATTATGATTTGCTTCATAACAAAGCGTCTTTTGAAATAGAATAGCTTTATATATACTATATGTTTTTATATCACAGTCCAATAAACTGCTAAGCACTTTTATTTGAAAGTAATAAAACTTGTTATATTTTGGTTGACTATATCAGTAAAACGACAGTTAGTGTTGAAGCAAATTCACAATTCTTATTTTACTGAGTTTTAAAGAGAATTAAACCATAAGAAATCTTATCAAAATAATGTCTTAGATTACAAATATGAAATAAAGTCTTTTAAATATTATCATAAATAAAAAATGTAATTTTGGAGTTATCTGGTGGAAAATACAGGCTAAAAAATTTGTAAAATAATTGTTGTATATAAATGTTCATAGCGCTACTACATAGACTATTATAGTATAGTGTTTATTAATTCAATAGAGCCCAAAAACCAAACCAAGCTGCAAGTTCATCAATCAATTAAGCAACTCGTCACTCAGAGACTTCGTTATGATTCACAATGTAAGAGTGATCTAGTGTGAAGTATCTGACTAGCAGGTACCTTACCCTACTGTTTATATGCAGGCTTCTGGAGAGAGAATGCCATATTGTATAACAACTTTATAAAAATTTGGGGTATTTATAATTTGTACAAGGTTCATTAGAATTGAAATACAAAATCGAATTCAATTAGCACTCGGCTGCTAAGCTCAATCAAACTCACCTACAGTTTAGTGAAACAAATAAATTGATAACTAAATATTTCTGACTTAGCTTGTCACTCATTTTACGAATTATCATAAGAATTGTTTATCGCTTAAAAAGTGTGTAGTGAGTCATAAACTAAATTGAGCTTTAGACAAAATAGAGAACACAAAATATAAATAAGGAAGGAAATATATATATATATATATATAACATTTTCACTGCGTCATCTATATATAAATAAATATATATATATATATATATATATATATATATATATATATATATATATGATGTATGTGCCTAATTAATAAACAAGATTCGAGATGTGACGCAGTGAAAATGTTTTGTCACAATTAAAATAAAACTTGCTTAATTAAAATGTTCACAATGTTTCAATTGGTGTTATTTCAAAGAACGCAGGACAGACAGAGAGAGAGAGAGAGAGAGAAAGAGAGAGGAGAGGGAAAGAATGGCACAGAAAGAGACAGAGAAAAACAGAGCAAAAATTTAATAAAATATCAAAAATACTCTAATAAAACAATAATAAATGTGGTTTAATAATATTAGCTGATGTTGATAAAGAGTAAATTATTCAGCTTAATACATGAAAGTTAATTGATTAAACTGAAAATAAATTTTGTTCAATAAAAGAAAAAAAGTAAATTGTATAAAAACAATAATGAATTACTTTAATTAGTTAGTTAGTTGTTTTATTTATGTTGTCTTTAATTACCTAAGGCAAATAATTTATTATTAAAACTTTTCACGCTTTTTTAAATGTTTCCAGTATTTGTTTATATATTTTATATTTACTAAAACATTATTAAATGTTTTAAAAAATTATTTAAGTAATTCAATAATTATTCTTGTAATTGAATTAATTCCTAGACTTTTTCATTTGATTTTATTTATGAATATATTATTTTTAATGTGTTTTTGTCTTGTTTTACTTTAGACACTATTCGTTACAATTGCGCGCTTTTCACTGTTTCTTTCTTTTGTTGCTGTTGTTGTTGTTCACTTTCGAGACGAATCCGAATTTGTTTCATTTTCAATTCGAAACGTTTGCATAACACGCACAACCAAACACAAATTAATTAAACACGACCATAGCGGATTGAATATATGTCTATAGTATATTGTAGCATTATTATTTTTTATTTTGTTGAAATTATTTTATTATATTTATTGATTTTTGAACTAGAAATATAAATCGAATGGGGGCGAAGCTCGGTTAATGTTTGCGGCGGTCGCAGCCGAATTGCACTTTTGATTTCGCGTTTTGTTTTATGCAACTGAGCAGCAGCCCAGCAAAAATAAAAAAACACACACTTAAATTGGCATGGCCAAAAACAAACAGCAGTAACAACAACAATAACAGCCGAAAATGCGGCCAAAAAGAATGCAGCACCAAAATAAACCGAAGCCCAAGCGAAACGAAACGAGTCACAAGCAAAATGCAGTCGCAGCCCGCAACTTCGAGCACTAATTGGCAGACAGAGAGTAGAGCGGAAGAGAGAAAGATAAGGAGAGAGAATGAGAGCGAGTTAGTGCAACTAGAAATTGTGTGTGTGTGTGTTGACAAACGCGTGCCATAGTTGGGGTTCATTTACTTGTGGAAATGAAAATAAAACAGCAAATACAATCCAAATGCAATAACAGCTAAGGCAGGAGAGCGTAAGTGAGAGCGCGAGGAAGACATGGGTACGAGAAACACAGAGTAAGAGCGTAACAGCACATCTGTAAGTTTAATTCATAAAAGCGCAGGCAGAAAAAGCAAAAGCAAAACGATAAAAATAACTGCAGCTGAAACAAAAACAAATTATAGACAAAGAGAGCGCTTGCAAAGTGGAAGAGCGCATGAATTTTTTTCACTTTGTTCTTGCGGTCCAAAAAAGAGCGCCAGAAATTTCTGCAGTGTTGATGTTTTGCTTTCGGAGAGAGTCTTTTAGTTGAGGATATTTTGACTGCACTGGCAAGAAATGAAATCAACGGTACATAGACAAAAGATACAAGGCGAACAACAGCTGTTGCAATTGACGTATACGCAATATATTTTCAAAAAGTCTGTAAACACGTAAGAATAATTTGATAATGTGGCAGCATGCCATAATGTTGGTGATAAGACATAATGATGATTTAAAAATAAATACATTTTATAAACTGTTGAACATTTTAAAAAGATATTGCGTTTGATTTAAAATACTTTAAAATGCATACTCTTTAAATAATAGTATATATATATATGAAAGTATCCAGATATAATCGTTGGTAATACATTTCAAATCTTAAAATTTTTTGGCAAATTAATTCGTGGATTGTAAATGTGTAAAATTCACGTTCTAAAGCTAAGATGTATATATGCATTTAGGAACTTTACTCGCACAGCGTCAATCCATCAACAACTCAAAAAATGCTGAAAGCTATATTTTTAGCAAATTTTCATTTCAGCAATGAAAATCTTTTCGACCACAGAAACAGTTTATTTAGTTTAGTCTTTGGGCTGGCGTCCAAACATGTGACCCAGCCGCTGATGACATCATTGGTGTGGGCGGGCGAGTGGAAGTGGGAGGCAAAATGTGGCAAATATGAGGAGGGTACTGATGATGCAAATGGCTGTTGCTACTGTTCAAGAAATGCGAAAGAGAAATGCATAGATCTGGCAAAACAGCCAGACATTTAGGCATACACAAAGAAAAAATATTTATGATATAGAATTGTGTTTATATATAGTGAAAGATTGACTCCAAATTCTCATTCAAAATGTCAAATGCGTCTATTGGCAATAAATTGAGCACGTGCACAGGTGTAATGATTTTCTTTTCAATGAAAAATATCATCTCTCTTATATCATCTCGTTTTAAACGTCAGCCAAGGATGTTAACAGAGCTAACTTGTGTAGCACAACAACGAAAATTAGAAACGGGCTACACTCTAAGCACTTCTAAGTCTAATAACTGTTTTATGTTATTCAAAAAAATTAAGAGCATAAGGTTTTAACTGATATGACTTGTATTAACAATTTAAATTCAGTAATCTAATTTAAGTAAACTGATTATCTTTTTACTAAAAAAATCAAACAGACTAAACTTGTGAAAAGTTAAACTTAAAAAGTTTTTAAGATGATTAACATTTAAGCTATTCAAAAGAAGTTTTAGTTAATTTATAAACAAATTGGCACACTTATTAGTAAAATCTAAGAGACATCATATGATTTAAAGATTGTTAATTTGAGAGTCGTATTTTAAAATTATCTATGTCAATATAAAGATTCATTTGGACAGACAGTCAACGCAAATCGAACGATTGGCATTGCTAATTATTGTTATTTTGTTTTGTTTTTTTGTTGTTGTTTTAACAACTTTTTTCGCGTTTGTATTCGGTTTTTGTTAATTTATTTGTTCATAATTATCAGCGTGAAAAACCATTTAATACAAATACAAGAACAATCCTATACACGTCTGTGTGTGTGAGTGTCTGCAGAGTGAGAGACTTTGTTTTGCTTTGGATTCTTTATACGTATACGTACTATATATGTGCATATATTATATATTTTATTGAAGCGCGATAAGAAGGTCCGCCACAACGCGCTTTGATGGCTCTTTATTTTATTTTGCTATCTGTGAGCTTTGTGATCGCGACGTCTGAGCTTAAATCAGTTCTATAATCGCATTTATACATATATAAGTATTTTTTGTATGCAGATAGTTGATGGTCATACAAATGAAATAATTTTACATAATGCAGTGCGAGACAGAAAGAAATTTTGGCAATTTGCGAGAAATGGCTAGAAAAAGTTTACGTCACGCATAACCAAAAGCAACAAAAACAGCAAAAGCACCAACGACAGCAGCCGGCAAATATTAACGGTACCAACCACCATTTTTGTATGTCGAGAGTGAGAGCGAGCGCGCAAATGTCACTCACGTGTGAGTTTGGCTGTGTGTGTGCGTGTGTATGTGTATGTTGGTGGCTCTGTGCCAGTGTTGTGAGGGTGTTTGTATAATGCGCTGGCAGCATGTGCTTTACTCGTAGATCCTGTTAGCTAAATACTAAAAACTTGCCACAGACAAATTTAATATATTTTAAAAATGCTTCGCTGCTTATCGTCTGCTGCCAATCACTTTCGATTCACTTTGTTGCTAAAATTAGGCTCACACATGCATACTTATACACGCATATACACCGTTTCGCGGCGACCCTTGTCGCACATACATACAAGCAAACAGCTGGCTGCAACAACAATAGCAACGACTCACCTAATAGGAAAATATTATATTTGCTTTACACTGTTTGTGTAAATTTCTTTGTAGCTTTTTTAATTTAAAACACTTTTACACACTTTTTTTAGCACTCTTGACACACATTTTTGATTGCATATATAACACTTGTATTCATTTGTAACTTTAGCTTTCTGAGTAAAATTTGCTCATAAATCCTTTTAATTGCAAAGGCACGCGCGGTTTTGCCTCTAAAGGAACGTACATTAGAGTAGAGCAATAATTTAAATTTAAGCACTCTGTTATCATGTATTGGATTCAAGCCGCGAGCGTTGACCGTAAACGCGCATAGCTAACGAACATAAACACTTAAAAAATCGGACATCAGCAACGAACGTCACTTGGTCGAAGCCGCCTCGATAACACGTGGCGGCAAATCGATACTAAAGTAACGATGTATCGATGCCAGTTGCAATGTAAAGTGCAACTCAGTGGCAACGTTAAAACTTACGCAAAAATTCAAATGAATACTATTTTGCTTTATTTAAATATATCAGACAACCTTAAGTTTTCAAATTAGATGTATTTAATTTAAATTGATTTGGAATGCTTTTTTTGTCAACTACTTAATACAACTTTTACTTTTGTACGTGTTTCAGCACATGCTAATTTAAAATTATAGGTGATTTGTATTGCATGACAAAAATAAAGCCATTATTTATAGTAAATTCTATGAAGTCAGTTTTTTTTGTTCCTCTTTCAGCTTGCCATCGCCAGGCGGTGACTTCTTGTTTGTAGCGGTATTCTGCTTCTTTCCATACAACATGTCCGTAAAAAGAGCAGCAAACACCAAAAGAGCGCCAAACCATTGACGAGCGATCAAAACGTTGCCAAATAGCAAAACGGAGCAGAGGACGGTAAAGAATTTCCGTGTAGTTGTGACCACCGAACAGGCCAGCGGTCCAAAACTAGCAACCATCAAGAAGATAAATAACTGGCCTAAAGCGCCGCAAAACGCGATCATGAACAAATGTATGCAGACCTCCGAGTGACGCAATGCAAATTGTATGAACTCCACGCCCTCACCTGTCCAATGATTAAAAATGAATTATCAATGAAAATCTTAAATAAGCAGCTCTTTGCCCTCTGGTTACCTGTTACAAGCATGGCCACGCCGAGCATGAGGGTGCTCCAGAAATTCATGGACAACATCATTTGCTGTCCCGATGGCGCACTTGCATCACGCATTCGCTCCTGAATAGCTCCCGTCAGCCCATCCATAGATAAGCTGAGAAAGAGTAGCAGTTCACCCAAGCCTGTTGTCTCTGTCGGCAGATTGGAGATTTTGCTCTCTTTGTACATGAACAATATGACGCCCAGCACAATGGTCAGCACACAGGCATATCTCGTCCAGCTATACGATTTACGTCCAATTAGTACGCCCAGAATCATAACTGGAATCGGCTTCGCGGACTTGCCCACCACGGCTGTAGGATATGGCACCCAGCGTAGCGCCATGTTTGTTGAGACCATGGCCAACAAATAGGTCAGCGAACTGGCCGCATAATATCCTGTGTGTGTAGTGTCCTCCTTCTGAGGCCTTACAGTGAGCATGCCTGAAGGAAAAAGTAATTCTTACGTGGACTTAGCTTCAACGAATGCGACTTACCTTTGGCAAATAGATAATTGCAGACACATTGTACCCAGACTAAGGCCAGTGTATATGTGAAGCGTTCACCTGTGTTTCCATCTGGTTGCAACTGGTCACCGTACCGGCCCCGTGTTAGTTTCTCTTGAACAATTCCATACAGAAAGTAGCTGATAAATATGCCCAAGGCGTAAATGGCAAAACGGCTATGTTCTGGTATATTCATCGCAACGGACCGCTTTGCTAACACTTCTCTGTTTTCCAACTTTATACTTAGAAAATAAATAATATATTTATAAAACGCTTGGCATAGTGTTTTAAATATTAAAACACTGAACTTGCTACAAATAATTCTAATACGTGGAATTTAGAGGTGCTTAAATGCAACGATAAATGTCAACATGTTATCGATACGAATCGAGGGATACCATAAGCAAGTTTCTTTATTAAATATCGTTAACTGAGCGGGTATTTTTGAATACTGACAACTTAACGAACTGCACGTAGTGAAAGTTCGAGTGACAGTAGCCAATTATAGAAACGTTCACTTTAGTTTAAATTAAAAAAGGTGTCAATAGAAATTGTATTTCGTTTATTTGGTTTAAAAATATGTGTAAAATATTTTAAACTATATAACGTTGCTCTGTTTATAATGCACTTAAATTCCTTCATAAATCCATACAAATACTTCAACATTTTGAGTAGTTTTTTATGCTAATAAAATAAAAGTATATAGATATATATGTAAATATATGTATATATATATATATTTATATTATATATAAGTATTTACCCAAATATTAGCTGGTAATGGTAATGTTCTTTTTTAAATTATAAATACACGTCCAAAATTAAACAACAACAAACAAGCATTAATTTAAATAAGCAACAGTTTGCTGTAAATTGGTGAAGCGACTAGATCTTAAAAGCGGAGAAAATCTAATAACAGACAGAAAATATATAAATAAATTTGAAAGGGGAGCAAAAAAATAATGTTTCACTTGTGGACTATGATATTGAGAGCTGCATAGGTGGCAGCCAGGTATAAAATAATATATACGCTGCGCTCGAGACGACATTCGATGCGTCAAGCGGTGAAACAACTTGATCATCGAACTTATACCAACGTCCATAGTTGGCGCTCTTGCAGAATGCTGTATAATGTCCACCCTCCATAGTGCCGTAGTGATTGGACACGGCATACAGTTGGTATGTTTTGGGCGTAACGGCACGCGATTCGGCACGTGCTATATACGGTTTCATTTCCAGATTATCCAGCGGAAATTGTAAATAGTTTTGCTTCTTAATATATGAGCCCGTGTTGCTGGGGTCCGCATAGAAACTGTTAGGGATAGAAATAATACATACAGTTCAAGAACATTTTTATGCTGATACACAAAGATGCTTCTCACCGCTTTAAATGCACAACCAACACTGGCGGCAACTTGGAAATGTCCAATTTCTTGATGGCATCCCGTTTCGTTTTACAGTTGGGACAATTCCAGCCATGAATTTTCTCGCCACTGAAGTACATGTCCATGCACTGATTGAGGTAGCACAGATTTGCATTTGCCGGTAGTTCCAGGCTGAGATTCGAAAAACACTCGTATGTGGCTGACTCTTTGGTGCAGGTTACACACTTGACGGTGCTCTTGATCTGACCATAAAATAAATGCAGTATTAGACTCTCCTGCGATTTGGTAAACTGCAGCCACGCTTTCTCTGAGGCACTGATAACATCTCGCTGTCGCGGTACACGCAACGTCTGCAAATCGGAATGCAGCCAGTCCATGAGTATGGTTAAAAATTCATGGGAATCCTGTTGATCAACGCCGCGAAAGATCTTCTGATACTGCCCCACAACGTACTGCAAAAATACGAAAATTTTGATTAATACCATAAAAAATACTTGTGATTTTAACACTTTTTCTTACTCGTAAATCTCGACTGGCCACGCATTTATATTGTCCGTTCCACAGCTCTTTGATAAGCGCGGCCACCTCTTCGATGACCTGTCCATTCGTTTTGTTACGTCGGCATATATGGTTCTTGTATTTGTCTGATATGCAGAACTCCATTAGCTGCGGCGTATTGCTCAGACACTGCAGTATGCTGTTCATATAGCAAGTATTGCCCAGATTCTTGAGACCCGTTAAGCCGCGACCCTATACGAATAAAGCAAAAGTATTTGTTAGTTCTGGCAATATATGTTATGCTGCTTGTTTTACGCGTCTCAGCGGAAATATGGAGCTATAAATGTTGTAAGTGGGTGGCAGCTGAATTTTAACACCCGCTACACAAATCATTTGTGCGATTTGTTGCAAACACTGAGCCAATTGAATGCAATATACTGCAGCGTCGGTTTCGAGCGGCGTGCAACGTGACGGCTTATTGATTGGGCGAAGAGCTATTTATAGCCATCGGTACAACCACTCACCACATTGTGCCCAAGCACAGGCGAGAAATCACGGACTCGTGGGGCTGTCGTCTCCACGTTGCGGCTCTGCGGTTTCGTCGACCGATCATAGACGGGTCGGCTTGTTGGCTCATCGTATGCAATCGAATGCTGTAGCTCGCTGCTTGTACTATTCGATGTGTCGTCTGAGGGCGTGGGTGGCCGGGCTATAATGGGTTCTGCTGGTGGCTTATAATGCTTTTTGGCTGCGCGTGCAATTGACAGTTGTTGTTCACGCTCGAGACGGTCCCGTTCGTGCTGTTCGTCCAGCTGCTGACGTTCCTGTATCTTCGATTCAATGCGTCTGGTTGCCTCGTCATCATTTTGCAAATATTTCAGTGTATTTTGCTCTTTATAACGATTCAGCTCATCACGTAGTCGATTGTTTTCCATTTTCTATACATTTTTAGGATCAATTAGTAACTACAAAATAATGTTGTGTTAGACACTCACATAGTCCTCCGCTTTGCTTTCCAGCTGCAATATATTGTAGAGCACCTCTTGCTCATGATTGCTTAGGACTGCGCCTTCGGCATGCAATTGCTTTAGCTCGAATATGCTTTGCCACTTCTTGGCCGCCGTGTCAAGTAGCATATCGTTATGATGTGCCCGCTGCAGCAACACCGTCTGATCGCGTATGATCTCATTGATAGGATTTTCCAGTGGCTCAAGCGGCTGCTGTTGCTGCTGCTGATTTGGTGGACTTTGATCGTAGGTGCGCACGGCAGCTGGTTTATTGGCACGATTAATGCTGGGTCTTTGCTTGTGCTTCACATTGGGCGCATTCATAATATCCTCCTTCATTGTTATATCATTTATGGATGGATATTCGATGTCATCAATCGTTTCGATGTCATTGTTGTTCTGCTGCGGCGCTTGGACGCTTGGATTGGTACAATGCGTCGGATACATCATGATGAAAAACTCGTAGCCACCCTCCAAAATTTGTATGGGCGAGCGATAAGTAACATCTGGATCCCACTGTAAAAATAAATAGGATTATTACTATTATATTACTATAATAACTTATACATAACTGAAAAATTTGTAATTAATTTCTTTTAGCTTATTAAAATTATAATAAAAAAAAAAACATTTTCTAACAGGGGGTTATTGAATATATAACTTTGATGTCAATAAAAAATACATTTCTTTTCAATAATTAGTTTCTATAAGTTAGAGTTGATCCTAAAGGAACATTGTATAGGTATATCAAATAGGTATATCAAATATCTGTAAGATATAAGTGAAATGTAACAATAGAAGACTCTATATCCAATAGTATCTACAGATAGCCATATGACCCAGGATAGTAGCATTTACTACCCTGGGAAAGTTTACATACATTTTTCAGTATGTCCAACAGAGTATATATTGCTGAATTGGTCGCAGGTTGAGCATCTTTGGTGTTCCAGTCCATCAGCACAACCGACTCCTTAACAGATCGCGATGCCCACGCAGCTTTGGCGCTGCTGCTTAGGCGCGCTTGTAGTTTACCCGCCGACATGCTGTACGAATAAGAATTTTGACATTAAGTACAGATTACGCAATCCTGAAGCAATCGAGACATACCCGGGCGTTATCAGCTCTTCGGGCACATTAAATGCACAATAGTAGGTCAAATGGGAGTTGTCATAATCGGAGCTGCTGCGACAATCCATGACCAGCACAGATTTCAGCTGCATACGTTGGAAGAGTGCCTCACAGCTAATAACACCCAATTGGGCATATGTCGAAGTCATTTTGGCCAATGACCTAGTCTCGCTAATTGGTTCCAGTGCTGGCGACGGCAAACTAATTGAATCCCCGCCATTCATGCTCGTTGGCAGCAGTAGCTGTTCATAGCGTGTACTAAGCGATTTGCTAATGAGCTCCAGTGTGTCCATTATACGCCGATTTGACTCCGTGTCGCCGAGCACTTGTCGCACCGTCAGTTTGTGTTGATTGTAATCAGATTTGTCGCGTATGACCGACAGCATGTTGAAATACTTCATATAGTTGATATAGGCCAATTCTTGATCTCCCTCCCGGCAATAATCCTCAGCGGTCAAGTACAGCTTACGAGCCGTGTTTAGTAAACTGCAATGGGATTAAATTTACTCATTTATTCCTGTTGACATCAGCAGAAAATATTTCAGTTGCTCATATTCTTCCCGCTGTAGAAGCGTGAGCGGTGCGGGGCATGACGTTTGGGGTCCACTTACATTTTCATGCTCTTGTTACGCACATCTGGAATTTTAGTCAGCTTCTCCAGACTTTCTATTCTGTCGGCCATGTGTAGTTTCTTCAATTGTGCCATGGTTTGTATTGCGTATGTGTGTGTTTGCAGGGCAGGCTCGCGTGCTTCTGTATTTTGTAGTTTTTCGTCAGTCCCGTGGCCGCAATTTTATGTGGGTGCTGCCGCTTTTGAGCCACAGTTTGTGTGTTTGCCAAACACTAATGTTAAGTAACATAACAGCTACAAAATCATTAACATTCACTAAGTATTCAATATCTGGGTTGTTACTAAACTCGAAATAATTATAAAATAAGTTTTTTACGCTTAATGTAGAACTAATTAACGCATAGATTTAGAAAATGTAGAACGGCGACACACGACGAATTGCAAAAGTTATCGAAGGCAACAGCAACAGCTGTGTCGTTATAAGGTGGTGGGCCGTCGATATACTAGCTCGCCTATCAGTTAACTTACCCGCAGTCATTCACATGTAAAAGGCAATTTAAGTTCTATATTCAATTTATTGTATTTACTATTTACAAACATATGCAAAATTCTTGTATTAATGTGAAGTATTTTACATTAAGTGAAATAATGGTATTTATTGGATAACAATTTTTAATTTTTGTGTTCTCTTGTAAATAGTCTTATTTTTTTAATATTCCGATACATTTTTCAAATAGTTAACACTTCGACTTTTGCATAATCTCACATTTAGATATCATTATGAGATTGTAAATTTCGAAATATTTTCATTTAAATTTAAATCATTAAATTTATATTTATGCTAGAAGTGACTTATTGATGACATGAGTACTGGATATCTTGGAATATTTCTGTTTGATTGTATTTCTTTAGTTGATTTAATTTCTGTTTTTTTTTTTTCATAGTTTACAGGATAACTATTTTTTTATACATAACTTTGAAAATAAGGTTCGGATTTACTGTCGCTGATGTTTTTCCCATTTGGAATTTTTTGCATGTTTCCGGGGTTTTTTTTTCGGGCGACGTTTTTTGAGTGGTTTGTATCTTTTGAAGCCGTTATCTGTTTTTACGAACATTAATGTGTTCATCGTTTTTCCGCGGACTCTATTGCTCAAATAGTATGAGTTGATTATAGTTATTTTAAGGTATTCTCTAAGTAGAACCAAGTTCGTATATATTGCGGGATTCGATGTATTCCTACAAGAAAAGCCAATGGATATGATTCCAACGAGCTTATCCTCAAAAATTACAGGACAGCCGCCATCGTAGATGCATTCATACATACTCTTTGGCTCCAGTGCACAAGCTGATGTTTCTGACAAAAAGTATTTGTTCTTACCGAGGCGATCAAGACAACTTTCATAGTCTATATGCGTCAAATTCACTAATAGAGGGTCTTCCGAAGCCTGTTGATACATCATTTTGCTATGGCCCCAGCCTAATGTGCTCAAAGTTATGTTACCTTCAGGCGCTTGTTTGGCAATACCTATGAACTCAGTCAATAAGCCTTCTAACGGTCTGTTTAATTTTACTACCGCAAGGTCATCAGTCGTATGCATGTACTGAAAGTCTTCCGGAATGAATATCATAGTTACCAGGGAATGGGTGTTTTCCTCTTCTTCTAAATTGGCAGTTGTTATCGCGTAAGATGCATAAGTTTGGTAACGGAACGGTGTTACGCAATTGGCGGATGTCAGCACAATTAATGGTGCGAGGTATGAACCACCACACGAAAACGATTGATCTATGGCATTTTTAATTTGTACCAAAAATCCACCTTGATAGTTGTCCGTATTTTGGCCCACACCCCCCCACAAGCGGTCCTTAATTTTCGTTTTTCTCATGATGTTGGTTCTGTATATTTTGCACAAAATTGTTGGCAGCCAGACAATCAGAAGCAGCAGCCATCGTTGATCCATTTTGATAATGTACTGAACTCTCACAATATGATGAATGGTATTGACTGAAATATAAGTTTCAGTTCTACAAATTGCAAGTATTAATCAAATTATCACAATTTAATTCATAAGGTGGAACTGATTGTGACAGTGGAATTTTTCTCGCAATCAATCTACCAAGGTTATACGCTATGCCTTTTAGATACGTGACTTACTGGGAAGACTATCGCTTCCGATGTTAAAATGTTTAAGTGGATTGTGGTTAGCCTGCTCTACAGATTGGCTTATAAATTAAATAGCAAGCCCACATCGATATTTGATGAAAATCATTATTTATTTATTGGTATGCAAGAATGTTAGCATAAAATAGATGCTGTTTGCTGTAGCTCATCAGATAATGGCTTTTAAATACCCTTTTTAGAATTTCTGTTATGTTCTAAAGTTTCAGTTATGAACTCATATACCATGGCAATGCTTGTATAAACGCCAGGAATTGTGGTATTCCGACATGTGGAGCCTATCGAGGCGACGCCAATGAGTTTATCGGCTAATACGACAGGGCTTCCGCCATCATATATACAGTTAAATGTTTCCCGTGGAAGTTTCGCGCACATTACTGTGTTTGATAGAAAATTGGCGGTAAAGCTACTCTGACATTCGCTTTGTTTTAACAATAGCACATCTGCCATTCTCGGCGCTTCTTCCGAAATCATGAAGTCAAAGCCCCAGCCAAAGGTATGATAAAATAAGTCAGATGCGGGCATAGTGTGGGAAAATCTGATAAACTCGGTCATTAGGCCTCCCAACGGATATTGCAGTCTGACAGCCGCTATGTCCATATAGGTCTTATCCATTATGAAATCCTCTGGTGTATAAATACTAGTTATCGCCGAGATGTGGACATCATCTTCTTCCGAATTGGCCGTGGTTGCCACGCTTGCCTCATCCAGGTGGTAGCGAATCGGAAACAAGCAGGAGGCAGAGCTTAACACCAATAGAGGCGAAATGTAGGAGCCGCAGCAGATGAATTCAGCCTTAGAACCACTTGTGATTCGTAGCAACCAACCGCCAAAGCCGTTTTCTGTTTTATGTATTTCTCCATTCCACTGACGCGATTGAATCTCTTGGTTTTTTGAAATTTCATTTTTATACACTTTGCTTTCCGATAAACAAAAGCATATAACAACCAATAAGAGCGGTAATAATTGTTGCATTTCGTTTGATGTTTCATTTGAAACTGGCGAGATTTTCAATTACCATTCATGCAAAGCTATTTGCGTAACTCATTAAAAGTTAATTCGCTTCTTTGTAACGCTTCGGCTTGCTAAATTTATATTTTAACGGTCTTTAACCGTTGGAATAAGTATGAGCTCAAATGCATACATATGTAAATGTTTATATAATGCAGTTTTTTCAAGTGTATATAAATATAATAAGTTGTTAAAATAAGTTACAAACCTATGTCAAATCACGTTTTTTTTCTTAAAATAAATATCAGCTCTCAATTATTTTTGGAATAGTGTAAATAATTAACAACAAATTATGCACTTAGCTAATTTTCCTTAGCGTATCACAGTTGGATTTTCAATTCATAAACCAGCTGTAAAGCAGATTTATTTCCCTATGGCTTGACGACGTCATCACCTGAAGCACCTGTGGAGTTAATTTAAATGATTTAAATATTCAATCAGATGCATATTTATGGCACAAAAACCCGTAATCAAAAATACAGCGACGCATCACAGGTGACATCACGGGCGGGTTTCGCAACCCACTTGCGTAGGTTGGGGGGCCGCGCTTAGCGGTACTTTCGCAGTCGCCACCACCCAAAAATATACAAAATAACCCAGCTAATATTGAGTCGGCGCGCATTTGAGTTGGGTGCGCAGTTATTTTGGGAATTGCGCAATTTGGGTTTCAAGTGCAAAAACTGGACGCTGAACCCATGAAATTAACAACAAAAACAAAAAACAGACAGAATAAAGGGCAAACACTTCCTGACAAATTGGGTGCGCAGGGCTGTGTGGATTTGCGGATGGTTGCTGGTTGGTCTTCCGGTATGGCCAACGGCCAGCGTCGCACGTAGTCCACCAACCGTTGGCACCCACTGTTAACTAATTGTCAGCCCATTCACGCAACATTAAGCTCTTCGAGCACCGTCATCGATGCCCCACAATTGCCATGCTTAACAGGTGTGCGAAGCGCGGTTCGCACGCCCAATTCTGCTCTTACCACCTGAACTCCCAGTCTATTTAGTCACATACCCTGCATAATTTCGGCGAATTGTCGTCGTAGCACCTGCGTCGCATCGCAAATTAGGCTAGCAGCGCGTGCGCTGTCCGTCTTTGACGTAGTTGCCCCATAGCCTATTTGCCTATTTCGCCAAGAAGCAGTTTGTATAACACCAGAAAGCCGTTTGGGCTAGAATTGACTGTGGGATTTTACTAATATGCAACTAGAAGCTCTAACTTATATTTTTAATAATAAAAAGCAATAACAAGAAACATAAATTGGAGTTCAGAGAGAAATATAGGGAGCAAGAGAGAGAGTGAGAGAGAGAGAGTGAGAGAGAGAGAGAGAGAGAGAGAGAGAGAGAGAGAGGGAAAGAAATACAATCTTTAAAAGAGTAAAAGTTAAAGTAAAAAGTCAAAGCTAAAACACCTGGTGTAGAGTAGGCTTCCTCTGCCTGTAGTGTATGGAAGCTGCATATCTTATACATACTCACATATAGATATAGATATATATTTATAAATAAAAAGAAACATAAACACATATATATGAGGACAACTTCATTCTAAATAACATATATTAATATTTCATTTAATTTAATCGCATATAGATAAATCAGTATAATATATATATACGCATTGCACAGGTCTGCTTAGTGTTAAAATGTGTTTTAAAGACACTCGGATCTAGCATACAAATCGCGTCTTAATTTGTACAAGTTTCGAGCATTGTTAACACAAATTTCCTTTGTTTCAGTTGGCAACAACTTCCTTCTACAGTCATACACATATAAATGAATTCTATAGAAATAGAAATAGTGCTTTACATTTTGTGTTCTCTTCTTCCAGAACTATATCAAAATGTATACATACATATATATATATATATATATATATGTATGTATATATATATGTATGTATATATAATATATATATATATATATATATATGTATGTATATATAATATATATATATATATATATTATATATATATTATATATATACATATAATATATATATATATATATATACATATATATTATATGTATATGTATATGTATTTATATATATTCTGTTTGTCTAGCGCTTTGTTTGGACAGGTATTTGATATCCTGCAGCACCTGCAACAAAGCACATAGTCTTTGCCACCCACGGCATCCTATAATTTAATTCTCTCTGGGATAAGAATAAAAATGAAAAAGAAAAAGAAAACTTTTTCTGGTTATAAGAATATAGAGGTGCTGAGCTGTCTGGCGTAATTTGAGATGGCTAATGATCTCGACCGGGCACATCTGTTGCTCTCGGTCTCCGGTCTGCCCGAAGATGCAGCTCCCCAGTGTAATTGACTCTTCCTGCCGTTTGTCAGGAAGCTGAAAAAAAAAATGTATAAAAATAATTTGTCAGACAGATCGGAAGCAGAGATAATATTTTTCGGTTCGTCCGGCCGCCGTGTCCATTGATCAGTGTAATAATCATCCTTTGATCTTGAGTTACTTTCAGTTATTGTCGTTCGAGATGCGAGAACTGTAGTTTCCTGAGTTTCACATTTGTGGTTGTTCCAATTCGTCAAATCAATAGAACTGCCTTACTTTTGAAATCTGCTTTTTGATATATATTCATTGCATACAGCTTCTTTTTTGCAGTCTTCTCCTTTGTAGCTCTCGTTGAGGTTAATAACTTCATGTGCTGCGGCGTAACTTGATATAGCACAGCGGAGAGGTGTTTGACCCAACTCCTTATTCTCTTGCTCCTTCTCTGTGCACTAAGCAACAGGCATATTGAAATCAAAAACCACTAATTGCTAAAGATGCTGCTAATCACATCCAGATGACCTTTACCTAACGACGAATTTTAACTTGTATATTCTATTAAATTGGTTGCTAATTGGAATGTTATACAATGCGGGTGCATCTTTGCCTGCTGCAGCTTAACCAGCGGTAAACTATCTAATTATTGTGAAATCTGATTCGTTATCTAACTGTGGTTTTGCTTTGTTCTTATCTGGTCACACTGCCTATACTCAAGCCGGCGTGAGTGTTGCGTCTAGCCACAAAACGCATTTCCGACTTCGAACATGTTCGTCCGTAGTCGTCCAACTAGTTGCAAAAGGATTCAGTTGGTTAAGTGTTGTATTGTGTTCGTTCAGGTTCGATTTGGTTGGTTCTTTGGCCTTTGAGGAGCGCCACGTGTAGAAGATATATTGCGTTTTGTCTTGGATAGAGCTGTCGATGAATTATACATTGACTTATGAATGGCTAACAGCTTTGCATGACGTTCGTGTAAATCGAGGGGAAGTATTTTAAGAGAATATAGGTTTTATATAGAAAATATTCTATATATAATAACACAAGCAAATGCTCTTATTAGGAATACTTCTAAATATATTCTAAATATATTAACTTAGAGTATTTTTATTTATAACATTTTTTCAAAATAAATTTAACAGATTATTTGTATTTTAAACAAACAAAATAATACAAAATAAATGTATACGAATTTAAATTATATTTAAAATGGCTGTTAAACATTGTCGATTAAATAATATAACAAAGCCCTGTATATTTTGGAACTTGAGAAAATAACTTTACCGTATCAAGTTGTTGGGAAACTGAAAAGTTGATAAGCTGAAAAAAGTTATGGCAAATTGAGTCACACTTATGTATTTGACCAAACTTTACTTTTTTATTAAGCCAACTTGCCAGCATGGAAAGTTTGCAACACTTTTGCTGCAGCTACATACAGATACCACAGCAGTAACAACAGTTACAAGAGCTACAACAGCAACAACATGCCAACAAGTGGCGTTTGCTAGAACACTTACGTCATCTTTGCCGTGCCCCAAGCGGCAGGCAACAGCGGTTGCCATGTGTACAGCACGCATGTTGTGTTTACCACCCCAAACCCAAGCCGAACCGATGTGCAACTCGAACTTGTGCGCAGGAAGTCAACAGCGAACCACAAAGTGCTGCGAAGACAAAAAAGAGCAAATGAAAGCAAAGAAACCAAAAACAGTTTCGCAACGAACGCAGCTCGCAGCAGTCGCAGATGCAGCGGAAGACACCAGTTTGGGGACGAGGCGCTGCTTCACAGTGTCCATGTCCGTGTCCGTGTCTGAGTCCTCATACTCGTTCGCCGCTCGTTTCTGTTCGCTTCGTGTTTCGTTGCACTCGTCGCAGTGAATTCGAATTCTGAAAGTTTCAAATCAGTCGCTGCCGACTTGTTGTGCCATTTGCATATTATCAACATCAGCGATCGAAACGCCCCAAGCCATCTCTGAATAAATAATACAAAATAAACGCAAACACACAGATACTAATAAAGAAGTGCATAAAATTTTAAGTGGCTCCTAAAATGCATAATTAACACAACGTTTGGCATATTATTGAAAATTAATAAACTGTCGCTCATTGCGCGAGTGAAATTTTAATTGCAATTTGAAATTTGACGTTTTCGCATTTGATGCTAATTGTTAACTGAGTGAGTTTCAATCTCGATTATAATTAAGTTCTTTGAAGTTGACTCTGCTCTCTATTGAAATGTGGGGCAGCACTTTAATATGTTAGTGAAAAGTTTTGAATATAATTTGTGGTTACAAAGTTTTTTACTCTTTTGCTAATTCACAAAAGTTTTGTCGGTTTATGTGGTTGAAACCCATTAAATAAAGTTACAATATTCACTGAGTTGCTTGATGCGTGCATTACAATTAGTCTGAACAATATGAATTAAATTTCAATATTTTGTGAGGATTTATTAAATGCTTTATTTGCGGAGTTTCCAGAAGTATTTTAGTTGTTTATTAAAGTTTTAGGTTTCATAACCAAAATTCATTTTAAATTAAAGTTTGTGTAATATTATTTTTTTTATTATTATTTAAAAAACTACATTTTCGGGAAATGTGAAAAAGTTGTAAAGCTATTTGGCGTCTGTTCTACATACGTTAACTAATCAATTTTCTTACAAATAAACTCCGAACGTTTTTCAAAATTAAAAATAAATTTTTTAAATATAAAATTGTTATCAAAAAAATATATATTTTGATTTTTATATATTTATATTTTTAACTTAACTTTAACTTATTTATTCTTAAAAATTTTAACTAAATGCTAAGAAATATTTTTAAGTTTTCGTGCAATGAATTTTCTTATATTTAAAAAATTTTTTTATTAATATAAATTGTTATTTCAAAAAATGTTTTGATTTTCATTTATTTATATATTTCATTTATTTAATTTTTGAATTTGTTTTATAAAAATTGAAGGTAATTAGATATTTTTGTGTATTGCTTAGCGAAAATATATTTAAGTAATAAATAATTTATAAACACAATTTTTTCCACTATATGCCTAAATATTAATATTTCTTTCGACTATGCTTAAAAATCACTTGAGAAAATTTTAATTATAATAAATTTATAATAATCCTAATAACTTGATTTTATTAACCATAAGCTTCAAGTGAAATGCACGTAAAGACGAGGTGGAGCTTCCTCAGATTTAGAATTGATTAGCAGTGACTGTAGTCTGAGGAGGCTGAGATGGGACTGAGAGTAGCCATGAAATTTTCATTTAACTTTCTCTAGACAACACGCATACAAAGAGATGTTACGCGTGTGTGTGGGTGTGTGCTAAGCTGAACATTAACATTATATGGGTCGGCATGGAACTGAAACTAAAAATAAAGACAATGCAATTTTATTGCGCAATTTCGCAATGGCAATGTCTTGGGAAACGATTTCGCTGTAGCGGCAGATGTATCGTCGGCTGAAGGATAAAGCCAGGCTCTGTGTAGGCAATACTATGCGGTAATTTGCCAATGAGACGTGTTGGTCCCGCTGCTTAATGTTGCCTTTTAGCGCAGTTTTATATTGGTTTGCTTACATTCAATTAGGCGAACGCACGAGCGCGCTCAAGTCCCGCCCAAGTATCCTCCTTGTCTCATCCCCTCAATAAAAGGATAACACGAAAAAAGACAAAACAAAAACCCCAGCATACAGAACAGTTTATGCCACTACTCTCACTGTCTCGCTCTGCCTCTCCCTTTCTCTCTCTCTGTCTCCCTGCGTGTGTATGTGTTGTTATTTGAGTTGGCCAGGGTCCTGCCACAATGTGTGTTTAATTGTATATTACATATACGCCACATTTGACGCATTGTGGGCGTCGCGCGCCCTACTTTTCCTGTGTGTGCACCGCTCGTTGTATTTTGTGGCGTGTATATCTGAATTAACACATGTGACAATACACATCTTCATAAACACCAGTGTGTGTGCTTGTGTGTGTGAGTTGTAAATTATTGCGCGTATTTAGTTAACATTTGTATTTGTTATTTTCTGCCGGCTTCGAAATTTGTCGAAAATTCTCTGTGTATGGGCTGCGACTATAATTGCACGGGTATAATTAATAGCACTGCAGACATTAAAAATGAGAAATTACTTTACGGTCGGCAGGCCGTTCAACTGAGGGTGCTAACTGTCCGATCAGCCAAATGAAACTTATAATGCATTTAATGACTGCAACATTTAATGAGCCAAATGGCCAATAATTAATATGCATTCAGCTAAATGTTTCACTTCGCCCGTGTGTGTATCATTAGTAATGCATTTGTCTATGTAGTTATGAATGCCATTCTTCAAGTATCACATTCTATATAAAGAAATATTCTGTAAGTAATTGCTGTACAGAAAAACCCAGAAAAATATCATTAGCTGATGCTTATATAATCGTAATTGTTTCTTTAAAATCACTTTGTAGATTGGGCATCAGAGGGATAAATGTTTGATACTACTCACTTATTCGAAACCAAACACATATTCAGTGAGCTGCCCCAGCTCCACTTTATTGAATTACATTGAAATCCATTTGTTGGCGTGTACCAGACCCACTGGATAAATAAAACTATAATGGAAAATTATTTATGCGCACTTGTTTCACTTGATTAAATCAGAATTTATTTATCGAAAGTAGTCAAGCAATTAACCCAGCGCTTTACATAAATTATTTATTTTTTATTAATTGCATTTAAATTTGTTTTACTTTCAATCACCTGTAAGCTCCTCAGCATGAACACCGGCATAATGAGCTGAGGTGAGAAATGAATGAATGAATACGAAAAGTTATTACCATTTCTGCTTACTGATGAATAAAATATATTTGAATATGACTTTCAAATATTATGATTTTTTCTTTAAATTTTTTAATATTTAATTTATTTTTTATAAAAGGCCTGATATATAAATTCATAATTTGAAACTGTTTCATTTTTGAGCTATGACCCCGCATTGTCAGTGCGGCCATCCATTAAATGTTCTGGTTCAGTAAACTCGTGGCATTAATTTGCAGAGGAAAAAGGGACAGCTTTTTGAGCGCATTATGGACCCATGTCCACTCAGATTATTTGATGTTCGCTAACCGCACAACAATTACAATTACGAGTCCTGAGGACAGTGGACTTGCGGGCACTTTAACTGCTTCAGAGCACCGAATTTAAGCTGTAAGCGGAGACAATATAAAGATAAATAAGAGAAAACACCTGTAATGGAAAAGGAAAACAGATTGGCAGTGTCTTGCAAGCTTTTAACTACGATTTTCACGCTTGCATGGCTTTTCACGCTATTCGCCTTATTTACTAGTAGAACATACTCAGATTATACATTTTCTATTTTTATTTCGGGTGCTTCGTTGGCATTGGTGCTCTTTCTGCTCGTGCGCTTTGTCTCTTTGAGTGTCTACAAAGTCGGAATCATCATAAAATATTTAACAACCTGAATGCACTCACACATTTATGAAAGTGTAAATATTTAATGATGAATGCCTTCGGCTCCGCCTTACCAACCAGTCAGAAAGCCAGTCAGTCGGCCAGCTGGCCTGCCAGCCAGCCGCTTAGTTAGACTGCGTTTCCTAGATTTCGGATGCGGCAAATTTGTAAGGTGGTCTACCTGAACTTTAATGGCCCCAACAGTGGTTTATTGTTACATGCGGCGTATGTGTAATACATTGCATGGTAAATTATTAATCGAATGTGTTTTGCCAATAAACTGCGCTCAGAATAATGGCGAGGTTGGACAGATGAGTAAGTAGAGAAAGCTGACGTAAGCTCCTATTTAATCCACAGTTTCTTTACCTCAAGTGATCGATAACAGTGTTCATTATACATGATAAATTATCGATAAGCATTAGTGTCATTATCGATAAAAATGTTAATAGTTGTATCGATAAAATTATTTATTGCCCACACGATTATTTTTTCGGTAAGCCAAGAAGAAAATCTTAAATTATATATTGTGATTTTTGCCATCTGGTTTGAAATGCGACTCAGTTGCACCTGAAGGAACTCAGGTGACCCTCGAAAAAGGTGGCTCCATAGCCTAACAACAATAGGAGCTATTAAATTCAGCGAAACACTTGTTAACCTTTTGCGGCAAGGCCTCCAGGGCAAAGATTTTCAGAGTCTAAGCCCTATATAAATGAATATATACATACTGTATATATATACATTCAGGTATTTTTTGTAATTAATTAAAATTATGCGCGTAGTACTCTTAGCAGTCATAATTAAATTCAGGATGAATTGAAGTTGACATGGTTTCAAGGAGTTGGCCTAAAGGACAACGTCGCGACAGTTAATCAACTCACGCAGCTCACGAGAGGGAAAGATATATAAAACGAGGGAGAGAGAGATTGAGAGAGGCAGGACAAGACGAGCGCAAGTAATGAAAGCCATTAAAAATACTGGCGGTTTAACACGGGAAAATCGATAAAGCCAACGAAAGATGTGAGAAGTGAAAACTGATAAAATGCAGCACACACACACACACACAGACACAGCCACGAGGACACAAGCACGCGAGCAATCTAAGCGACCCGGTCTTGCAATGGAGTCTGTTATATTTCATAGTTAGCTCACACACACATACATCCAGGTGCAGGAAAATTTCTGGAAAAAAAAAACGAGGCATGTCAGCCATGCATTGCTATTTCTCATAAACCGAACCATTAAAGTTCTAATATGCACCTGGCCGAGCAAGGCTCCGAACCGAAGCTAATGATAATGGAATGTGCTGCTATTTGTGTTTTTTAAGGGAAACTAATTAGCTCACCCAGAGTCAAGCCATAAGCCATCCAGCTTTTCAATTATGATAGCACAACACGAAAAGTAGGAAAGGTTTATGTAGTATGATTGAAATACCAGCTTTTTTAATTGTGGGAGTTCGGGCTTATGCATCAATTTATTTGAATAATACTTCTTTGTAATTTACATTTAATTCTGAGTACAAGAGTTATATAATGAGAATTTAGTGCTGAAAATAATAAATAATTTAATGATCATTCATATTCCAGAATATCCATACAAATTAATCTGCAAAATGTATATATATATATATATATATATATCAAATTAAGCTGGCGCTTAGCATGATTTAAATTTATGTTAGTAGACAAATTAATTGGACAGGCTAAAGGATACGTTAATAAATTGTCGCT